CGACATAGCCCTCGGCGGCTGACACGCAATTAATGGAATCACATTATTATCATCATCACCATGCGCACCTGGCCGCCCTCCATGGGCTGCTTCCAGAAACCGTCCCAGCCGCCTCCCGGCAGGTTGACAACCAAGTCCGTGTTGCTTATTGTCCCCCCTGGCTGCGGGATGAACTGCACACCGCCGCCGTCGTCGCCGCCGTCCATGGAGGAGGGGCCCTCGTCACCGCGCATGCCACCCGCGTGCGCAATCTTTCCCTGGCGCAGGCAGGAGCGCTCAGCTCAGACGGGAGAGAGGGAAAAGGGGGGCGACGACAAGAAGGGGCGACGACAAGGAGAGGCGACGACAAGGAGAGGCGACGACAAGGAGAGGCGACGACAAGGAGAGGCGACGACAAGGAGAGGCGACGACAAGGAGAGGCGACGACAAGGAGAGGCGACGACAAGGAGAGGCGACGACAGGGAGAGGCGACGACAAGGAGAGGCGACGACAAGGAGAGGCAACGACAGGGAGAGGCGACGACAGGGAGAGGCGACGACAAGAAAGGGTTAGACGGAAAAGACGCACAACGGGAGCGACGAGGGGGTAGGGCGACGACAAGAAGGGCCGACGACAGAGGGTCACGGACTTCGCACGGTCTATGGTGCAGACAGGCGGAAAAAGTAGAGAACATGGAGGGGACGGCGCTGCGTTTGGACCGGCGAGGCGGAGAGACGGAGAGAGAGGGACGACAGGAGGAGGCGGCAGCCTTTGGATGGACAGCGGCCCGGACTGAAGGGAAGGGCGGGGAGACGGCAACAGACGGCAGCGCGATGAAAGCCACAGACGTTACAAGGACGACGACAATGATAGGCGGAGGGAGATGTCGACACAAATAGACGACAGGGTATCGACAGCCGCAGCTGGAAGATGGCACGCGGGTTGAATAGTGCGAAATACTGAGGCCCACAGACAGAAAACGGACGCCAGGAATGGGCTGAAGGACTAGGTGTGAGGTGGAACCCATGCCAGAACACGGACCGCTGCTACAGCCAACAGCTGCCTGCAATGTACGACAGGTGGAACACCTATTTCGGGCAAACAGCTGAACGCATTGCGGACGGCGCAAACAGGGCAGCGGCACGGCGATCAGTCGAAATGCTCAGCGCATGGAAAGAGGGTCCAGATGCCCGCCTTCCAACAGCCCTGCATGTGCTTGGCAATTCGCGCACTCCTTCCACCAAATCAATGTACCAAGCGGTCTACCAGTGGCTCCAGTGCCCTGTCCACCTTGGCACCCGGCGACCCAACATCGTCCATCACTCCCCCCACGTCCCGGTCAACAAAATCCGATATTAAGCTGCCATCCTGAGGACCAAACAATCGTAGGAGATCCTCGTCAGTATGGTCTACGCGCTATGCTTGCGTGCAACCCATTGTAACGCCCCCCTTGGCAACTTCGCACATTCTGCACTGATCGACAGGACCTGGATCATGCCAAACCGTGGCACTAGTTTGAGGGTGTTGCACAGTGCGCGGATCTGTGCGGCCAGGCTGCTCACCTTGTTCGCCCCGATGACCGACAGGAGGTTTGCCGAGCCCGCAATCCCAAAATCCGGAGACCCGCTGGCCGCCAGGCCCTCCTGAGCAGCACCACAACACAGTTAGGGCCGCGTTCGCTGCCGCAACAGGTGCAGCTGGCCAGGGCGCTTCGAGGCAAATATTTGGACGCCACAGGACCGTTCCAACAGAGACAGAAAGTCATGGAAGTTCTGTTTGGACGCTCTTTAAAGTTGTGGTCCGCGTGAGGAGTTCGGAACAGCGCTCTCAGGATGAACAGAGCGCCGTTCATCGCCTTGAAGTTGCCCAGGCATGATTCCTCAACGTCGCTGAGCACAATCAAAGTACATGCAGACAATCGTGGCTTCACACCTTCACGCCAGTGAATTGGCTAAGGCGGTGTCGCAGCAGCCCATGAGCAACTTTGAGGGTCTCATAATCACGCTCAGCAGCGACAGACAACACGACCACAGGTTTCTGCAATGCTATTTGTGGGGCTACAGTCGGTCATTCAGCTAGCCAGCCAGCCCACTATCCAGCCTGTCAGTCAGTACTAGGAAATCTCGAAGGGCGGGTCCCCACCGTGCTCAGGTCCGCTGCCCCCATCTCAGTGAGTAGATCCACAGTGGCATGGTGGCCAAACTCTGCAGCGGCATTGAGTGCCGAGTTGCCATCCTGCACCACCCACATGACGTGTATGTCAACAGGAGCAGCACAGTGGCGTCGAACCTGCTGGCGAGGGTGCCTGGACGCCATAGCCAAGCATGGGGAAAAAACAACACACGTCCCAAGTCGCTGCATCTGTTTCTCCAGATCTTCCAGCAATTTGTGCGCATCTCTGTTGCGAATCCCTCCCCTGGTTTACAAAGTGCCAAGGTGAACGGATAACATCCACATGATGCAGCAGAAGACAGGAATTCGCAACAGCAATGCTCTGGTCAGCAGTTCCAAGATGCGATGGTTCAGTGCAACAAGCAGGCGTGCAGCACACGTGTGTTCGATCGCAAGAATGGTCTGTTCACTGCAAAAGAAGGGAAAGCTGGGCGCTTCAAGGCCCTGCTCGTTTGACTTTAGATCAATGGGCACACCTTGTTCTTGTGCCTCATGTTGGCGCCTTTGGCAATGAGCCATCTCACCACCTTCATATGGCCCCTGCTGGCTGCGATCATCATCGCAGTGTTGCCAGCCTGTGCGTCACACACAACCATCACATCAGACACGAAGGCCTGCACTCAGATGGCACTGCGCATGTGTCAATGCAACATAGCAGCAAGGTTCCAAACATGCAGAGTTCCCAAGACTGGTACCCTGGCAAACCTGCTGCGGGCATCACTCCATAATCACATACAGCAGTACTTTGTGCAGAAGAGGCATCTTTCAGGTACCTGGTTTGGAAGATCAATTGAAGCTCCGTGATCGACCAGTTCCTCTACGATGTCAAGATGACCCATCCTTGCAGCACTGTGCAGGGCAGTTCCTCCATCCTGTAGGAACACAGCATACGATGTCACAATCTCTCCACAGACAGTGGTGTTACAGCTTGCAACACAAAACAGAGCTCTGTTCAACGCCCAAGTGCTGTTCTGCGGCACCTTGGCAATGCAGTCCAAAGTATTCTGTGGCATGTCATTGCATGTGCTCATGGATCAAGCTGGTGTGAAGGGACAGAGCTGGCCAACAATTCCCACAGCCTTAACCTAGATTCCACAGACAGGCAGACCACAATGATCAAGTTGTCTTGCAGATCAAGGGGTTGCACGCTGCAGCACCTCTCACCTCTTCTGGAACATCCAGAGAGGCGCCCTTCTCAATCAGCAGCTCCACAACACCAATGTGTCCACGGTCAGCTGCTAGACTCAGGGGTGTCAGGCCTGCCATCTGCAGCCATGCAGATCAACTCAAATATCAGAAAAAGAAGACAAAGGGCGAGCACCGCAAAGCAACACTGCAAAACAAGGGCACCTCTTTCAACAAGGGAGTACATCAGGACTGCCTCAGGATCTCATCACAGCTGGTTCGCAGGAAAAGCCACATGAAAGGGGAACACGCATGGTTTAACAAAGGGAAAATTGTGGCCAGTCAAATTTTGATTAGTTCGTTTGAATTGGTTGACAACAGCTAAGAAGATTCAATTCTGAACCATCTGCAGTACCTGGCCTGGTAGTTCCAGCATGGCACCGTTCTCCACCAGCACCTCGACCACTGGCAAGTGCCCCTTCCAGCTGGCCAGAAGCAATGAGGTGAAGCCATACTGCAGCAGGGTGACCGCAAACAAACTTGTCACTGGGGTGCTATTGGCAGGATAGACACGTTGATGTTCGCCATGGAAAATGTGGACAGCAAAACGCATTCACGGTCTGCCAATGAATCTTTGTTGGGTGGTGGGTGGGGGATCGCTTGTTCCTTCCATTCACAAGCACATCAGAACCAAACATAAGCATGCAGAGTAAAAGAGGTGTTTTCACCACTGGCATTTGGTGCCATCAACACAAACCAGTGCAAAAACTGCAGTCCTGGCAGCTAATCTGGAGGGCACATCACAGCATAGCACAAGCACTGGCCACAGAGCAGGCTCCAACACGGAGACAAAGCTGAGCATCACCCATGCACCTGATCAACGATGTCGACTTTAGCACCATGCTGCACGAGAACATCCACAACTTCCTTGTGACCATTTTGGGCTGCATAGTGCAAAGATGTGGCCCCTTCCTGCACCACAGCCAAGGAAAAGCATGTGGAATGGCAGATTGCAAGCCTGTGCAACCCGCATTGTATTCCAGGACGAGCACAGGACAACATATGGTACTCAACAATCACACCAGGGCCAAAGTGCAGCTGTGTTGTTTCGTGTATGCTTTGCAGCAGTTCAAACGCCCACCACCATAGACCTAGGACAGTGAACCCAGGGGCCTCACAGTTGGAATGAGGTATCATGGTTTCTGCGCCTCCTGAATAGGGTGGGCCGCAAACCGCAGATACTGGCTAAACCTGGCATGACACTAAACCATTGCAACAGGTCCTTAAGATTCAGTATGTGCCATTTGGAGATCATTTGGACATGGCTAGTGACTGGAGACAATACCAATCTTGTTCAAATCGTTGTTCAACACTGGACACACTGAACCCATTCCAAGGTTTTCCCAGCATTCACTGTGTCAGATAATAAACACTGCCAGGGCAGCTGGGAGCCAACAAAGCTCCACATACCCCATTGCTCCTACATGTTTTAAGGTATATCATAACATCAGCTACTGTACTTTCACCCACATGACTTGCTGCTGTCCAGGACAACAGAACCTGGCGTAGTTCCTCAACTCCTCACAGACGACAGCTGTTGCCCCAACTATCTTAGAGATGCTCTGCTTGCAGTGCTCCTTACCTGAGTAACAAGGTTGACATCTGCTTCATTTTTCAGAAGCAGGTTCACAACCTCCCTGTGGCCATTCTGGGATGCAACATGCAAACCCGTGACTCCGTCCTTGGGCAAAAGTAAGAAACCAACAAAAATCAGGCCAACGGACGCAACTCATATTTTTTGGTTTCAAATTAAACAGAAAACAAAGAACACTGTGGCACTGCTGCACGATTCTAGGCAGTAACCTCCGCCAAAACTTGCCATGACGTGGTAAACCGGAAAGCGTGAAAAACCACCACAACGAACAAACACCACTTGCAGATAGATGTCAGTGATGTGAGCAGGTAATTCTGCACCTCACAGCAAGAAGGTTCTGCATCATCAGCAGTAAGCGATAGCCTTCCATGTTTACAAAGCTAGCCAGCTAATGCTTCAGGCAAGCACCCAAACCCAACAGGAGCACACAGCATAGATGAATTTGTGCTGAGATCGGAATCGTACACCAGTCAAGCAGAAACAAACGATGGCTGCCAGGAGAACAAAAGGACATAGAGAAAATGCTGGGCAGTGGTGCTCACTTGTGTCATGAGGTTCACAGATGCACCACTCTCCAATAGAAGCTGCACCACATCTTCTTGACCATTCTGGCCGGCAATGTGCAGCGCCGTCACCCCATCCTGCACACATGCAGGCACAGGGTTGTTATGCAGATCGCCACAATTAACAGACGGATCACACAAGATGAACTCTCTGCCTAGTGCAGTCCAAATAGAATAGCCTGCTTTTCTTTCCATGCCAGTGGCTATCAAAGAACCTGCAAAATGAGCTAACGCGTAGCATGCAAACACAACTGCCATTGCGCTGTCTTTCAACACATCTGTATTGGTCCATGTTAAGCGATGGGCTGCTGTGCATATCCACCCTCACAATGTGTATCGAACCAACAGGAAAGGGAATAAAACAAAAAAAACAAATAAACAAAGCAGCAACCAAACTGGCCACCAAATCTTGTCACACACCTTGTTGGCAAAGTCCACAGCTGCACCGTGTTGTATCAGCAGCTCCACAACAGGCCTGTGCCCGTTCTGGGCTGCATGATGCAACGCTGTGAATCCATTCTGTGACAACAGCACATTTGTTCACAGTCACAAAAGGAAAATGCACCGTTCCAGGAGCTCTGGGCAGTTCCAGGACAGGTTCCCCACCAGGCAGTGATCAAAGTGTCAAGCACAAAAGCAAACCCCACAACATCAGGTTGCTCTTCCTCTGTTCTCCTGGAACTGTGTCAATCACAAAAGCAACAAGTGCGCATTGCACGTGAATGTGCTGAGTAAAGCCTTTTCATTCCATGCTCACCGATTCCACACAAGCGGGTTCAGATATACACTTCTAGTAGAAAATGGAAATGCAACCACAAACAGTATGCAATCGATACGCTGCAAAAAAAGCTACAGCACACCCCTTGTAGTAAAAGGCAATGCATTCACAAACAGCATGCAATCGATACATTGCGAAAGGAGCTACAGCAAACCCACGACAATATCTCGGAGATAGTGTGAAGCGCTTTCCAGTTTACCAAATCAGAGGTGCTTCTGGTGTCCCTTACCTGCTCCTGAATATCAATGCTTGCTCCACCAGCAAGCAGCGCTCTTGCACAGTCGATGTCGCCATCAAAAGTGGATTTGTGGAGTGCTGTCCAGCCACGCTGCGCAACGGCAAGGACACAACACAGCTAAACAATGGTTGTGCCCAACAGTTCCTGCTGAGATGCAGCCTCCGGCAACAGGTGCATTCCTGCCAATATGAAACTGGTGTGATCCGTGGTGCTCCAGCAGCGCTGTCAAATGTCAGGAGCTTAACACCTGTCTTCAGCTGTCCTATGCCATGAAGTCAAGGGGTGTAGTTGCTACCAGAGTAGACCACACGTCACATGACACAGGCACAGCGTGTGCTGCACGGGCTGCTATGTGGCGCACAGTGACAGCACATGTGCATTGTCACGAAGTGGGCTTTAGAGCAGATGCCCTTTTTGCCAATCAAAGTGAGGTTCTTGTACACTGCCAAAAACACTGATCTTATCTTGTAGTCTAAACTCAGCATTAGGCACGTGACATGCAACATGGCGAGTGTTTTGTCTACCACACTGCAGCATTGGAGACATATAGTCATGCACACTGATCAGGCTTGGCAGAAGCTTGGAATCAAAGCTTGCTGCTTTCATGCATACCATTGCATATGGTGGCTTCTGTAAGGCAAAAGCCTCAAAGTTCTTCCTACCAAGACGAGCAGCATGGTGTTGTTCGGCATTCCACAACAACCATGGCTTGATGGGCCAGCACATTTCCAGGATAGAGTCTCAAAACACCTGCCTCTGCCTAAAGAACCCATTCTTGCCTTTCGCTTCACTTGCATATCTAGTTACAACGGAGCCCCCTCCAAAACATGTGACTGCTGGACCTTGGTGCCAGCATTGCAAGGGACAGCAAGCAGGAGCATACCACAGCAACAACACAACGCCAATCCAAAGGTGCTTGACACTGGCAGGGCAAGCAGTGATCTGTTCGACATACCTTCTCCTGATGATTGACATTGGCTCCAGCCTTTACCAAGTACTCGACAACGTCCTTGTGGCAGTTCTCAGTGGCAAGCATCAAAGCTGTCCATTGATCCTGTTTACAAATCAAAGCCACAGTACACTACTCAAACAGGTGAACAGTTGGCAAGTGCAGCATTAAAAAGGCATAATGTTACATAATACTATCACACTAAACAACAGATAAAGACACATAAGTTCCTTGAGCTGACAGGACCCTGCAAAGCACCCCACTCACAAGAGCCGCAAAGAGCACATCGCTCTCTTCAGCGACGACTGCGTTGAGCAGGAACAAGCCAAGTCACCACCACAAACCAATCTTGAGCCTCATATATGGTGAGGCATCGATGCCAGGCACAGCAGTCAAGTGGATGTATGCAACTCTGCATTTCCACTCAAAGTTTCCCTTTTTGTTCTTGCTCGCCAGATGTTGTTCAATTCAAACACACCACAGGCTTCACAAGTCATCAGAATGCGCCACACCTTCTCTTGGTGGTTCACATCCGCCCCGCTCTCAAGCAACAGCTCCACAACACGTTTGTGGCCATTGCTGGCTGCTATAGTCAGGGCAGTCCATTGATTCTGCAGACAAGGAAACAAATGAGCCTCTGCCAGAGTGTGATCCTGAGTTCACACTGCTTCCCGCAAACAAGGTGCAAAAGCATGGCCAACACATTAAAAACAATGGAATACGCTGCTCCCCATTCACATGAGCACCACAATGTCACTGTGTGGCAACAATTGGGTTCTTCACAGGGCAAAGTTCAGTTCCCGTTTGCCCACATCGACTACTGTGTGGTTCAACTCTTTCCACAATCCAAGAGTACACCCGCACAAGTGCCCGGTCTAATGGGCATAGAGGTATAGACAGAAATCGGCAGAATACGGAAATCGTGGTTTTACCGTGGTCGCACCCCACTGAATACTGCTGCGCTCATCCAATACAGCAATCAACTTAGCTGTGACTATACAGAGTGGCAACATCCAACAAAGCTCCATAACCTGAACCTCCCAATCACGCAGCACAGCAAATGTGTGCACAAGGCTGCTTAGGGACAGCTCCAAAACTTTGCCACATTCCTGAGATTTTAGGTACGTACATCGTTCTTGATGTCAATGGTCGCCCCTCCATCCAGAAGAACCTTGACACACTCGCTATCGCCATGGCATGCTGCCTTGTGCAGGGCTGTCCAGCCGTGCTGCAAGGCCACAAAGGCACAAAGATTGGCATGCTGGTGACAAGCATACTGCCCACCCCAACCAAAACACAGCGTACAGTCAACACACAACAGAGCGATTCTGACTGCATGGTGATCACTTTAATCGTTCACACACCTTCAGAGTGCTGATGCCTGATTGGGCTGTATTCGATGACAAGAAGCTATGCACTGACATATACCATGTCGGTGGGGCAAAGTTTCAAGGTCTCACCTTTTCTTGGTGGTCCACACTAGCGCGATGCTGCACCAGCCTCTCGACTACATCCTTGTGTCCATTGTGAGCAGCAAAGGTGAGGGCCGTCCAGCCATCCTGAATTCCGCAAGCCAGCAGAATGCCCCCCCATGTGAGAATGATTTGTGGAAGAGCAATACGCTGATAGAAACTGAATCACTGGGCAGTGTACAGCAAGTAGTACTTGCCAAGTACCCTTAGTGGAGCAAGTGGTACGATTTCCTTCAGATGCACAATTTTGTGGAAGCAAAGCCAGTCACAATTAAACCACAAAACACTATCACGAGTGGTACAGGAGTCAACTTCAAGCGTGCACCCAAGCTCATGAATAAGGACTGCACCACATGCCAACTGAGCATACCTTGTTCTGATGGTTCACATTAACACCATTTCTGAAGAGCAGCTCGACGACGTCAATGTGGCCCCGTCTGGCTGCAAAGGTAAGTGGAGTCCAGCCGTTCTGCTCACAACAGCACAGAAGTCAAGGCACAACGGAAGTTGACTTGTGCACCCATTCTGCTTACAACAGCATAGTGGTCAGGGCATAGGGACACCTGACTTGTGTGGACAAGTTGCCAACTCCCCCCTGGGCACAGCAACACGCACGTCCAACGCATGCCCGACGAAAATTGCACTTCTTACCTTGTTTTGATGGTTTACATTTGCACCGTTCTTGAAGAGCAGCTCAACAATGTCGCCTGCTCCACGCCTGGCAGCAAACGTTAGAGGTGTCCAGCCGTTCTGCAAGGCCCAACAGCAAAGTCAAAGTTTGTCACAAGACCGGTGCACAGCACGCCTCTATTCCTTGCATAGGTGCCCAGTCAGGTTCAGGGCCAGTATAGACACCTCTCTGGCTGCGGCAATGCTGTCACAGACTTCACAATTCAAACCCAAAGATCTGCAGCACCTTGGGAAATGGTGCAGCATGCAGCTAAAGCCCAAAGCAGATTTGGAGCCAAAGCAGACACTGTCCTCTTCAGGTTGACAAGGAATACCCACCACAGACACCTTTGCACAACACCCGAACCCACCTTGGTTGCAATGTCTACCCTTGCACATCTCTGGATCAAGAGCTCAGCCATTTCGTAAGAAGCGAACTCTGCAGCAAGTGTCAAGGCCGTGCTGCCATGCTGCAACAAACAGGCAACAAGCATGAGGGCAAGCTGTCCCACTGCAAACCGAACACCATAATTTTGCAGCACTGTTGCCATGTTCCACATGAAAGTTTCCAGAAACCAGGCAGTGTCCACTTCACAAGAATTCTGCTGACAACACCAATTTTCTGCTGCTGCATTCATCTTGATCCCCTTTGCCTTGGAGCAAAACAGCATTCTGCATGCCCTATGGATGTTCAACATCCAGAGCAACAGTGAGAGGAGAAAAACGAGCCGCCACTGCACTTCTCGGCATGACCTCTCCATCTCCACAACTCACCTCGTTCTGCTGGTTCACCTCAGCACCTCTCTCCAGGAAGGTTCCCACAACATGCAGGTGTCCCTTCTGTGCTGCATACATCAGGGGAGTCCATCCGTCCTGCAGCACGCGCACACCAAGAGCAGATGAAGTGGTGTTGCCATTGATCAGATCATCTGGTACATGTCAAATACGTGGTACATGTCTCAGGTCCCCTCCTGTCAGGTGAGTCCTGATCAATCCAATTCACCACACAGACTGCAAATCCACAGAAACAGCTGGACCTTCCAACTCAGACAGGGTGACAGTGCTCAGTACAGTGCAACAGCGAATAGGGCATCTTTTGCCAAGGGTGTTGTCAGCAAGCCCACCTTTGTGACCAGATTGACATCTGCCCCATCCTCAAGCAACTGATCGACAACGCCTTTGTGCCCATTGTATGCAGCTGAGTGCAGTGCAGTTGCACCCTCCTGCAGCATCGTCAGGTAGCACTGTTCAGGTACCAATTCCAGGCATAGGCATGCAAAACATGGGGGCTGTGTATGTAACTGAGCAGGAGACAAGTTGGTGCACACAGTTCATGGTGGGCTTGGTGGAGTGTCCAGCCAGGGGTGGCAGTTTGGTTTTCACCATTGAATCGCACCACTGGGCCTGCTGCACACCCTGCCACTTCACAAAATCTGCATGGGAATGTGACCTGCATCAGGTGTGCATCCTAATAAGGAGGATCAGTGGCTTTACTGCACGGTTATTACTGGGATGTGATTCAAATTATCATCTGTTGGAATCTACAGTACTGGTTTCAAGTTCTGCACCCAGAATCAACAGCAAGCAGTGTACAAGGGCAAAATGACACAGCCCCTTTGCTGGCACCATACCCTCCATGAGAGCAGTGCATAGATGCATCGCCATTTCAAAGGACCATGAGTCTTTCAAGCACGATGCAATCCGTTCAATCGTGTCAGGACACACACACACTGCACCAGAGATAGAACAAAGTAAGAATGACCATGCAGAACTGTAGCCTTGCACACCTGGGTCATTGTATCCACAGCGGCACCATGGAGAACGAGGAGGTGAACAACCTCCCTGTGGCCATTCTGCGCTGCATGGTGCAAGGCGGTGAAGCCATTCTGAATACAGCACAACCACAGCAGGTTCTCACACACCCAGTCACTGTTGCACTCAACCTGAGGCCAAATTTCTGTTGTATGGCTCCTATAAGATGCTGCAACAGCTGACTGGCAAACACCACTTGCTTGAGAGCAACACTGCCAACAGCACAGCTCAGGCAGGAGAGAACAAACATGATGAAAAGATGAGCCACTTGGCCAGCAAAGAGAGAATTAACAGCAATACAAAACCAGAGCACAGGTCCTTCTTGAAAGTTAGATGCTCCTGCCCAGAAACTCAATATCTTGAAGCAATGGGTGGAGTACAAATTTGCACAGCACTCCACGGTCTTCATTTTGAGCATCTTCTGGACACGTGTCAATTGAACACCAGAGTGTATTTCCAGCTCTATGTACAATGCAACTGTTGCTCTATGCTGATGGCCAACAGTACAGTGCCTACAAATGGTCTTAGAAAGCGTCAAGCCTGGCATTCATATCAAAGAGGCCAATTCACTGCGCAGCAGGTCGAATGACACCTCACCTGTTCTTGGACATCGATAGCAGCCCCTGCTTCAAGCAAAATCTCTGCACATTTGATGTTGCCATCAAAAGTTGCCTTGTGAAGTGCAGTCCAACCGCGCTGTGCATCCAACACAATGACCCACCAGTTAGTCAGCTTGGCAGTAATGAGTCTTTTGCTACCGATCTCTATGACAGCTGTTCATGCTGTGTAGGGACAGGAAAAGGACTGGGGACCAACACAGGGGTACCAATCATCTCTCTGCAGCAGTTCTCACAATACTGTGTGATTTGTGTTGTTGGAGGCAAGCAGACAGCACTATCTTGTGCATACTACTGTGTAGTACGTTTGCGCAATGAGGAATGCACAGAATGCGCTAACCCTTGCGGCTTCCATGCACAAGGGACAATCCCAGTTACCTTCTCTTGGTGGTTGACGTTTGCCTTGTTTGCCACCAGATACTGCACAACGGTTTTGTGGCCATTTTCAGCTGCAAGCATCAATGCTGTCCATCCATCCTGCATGGCACAATGCACATTTTTGTTAAGTTGATGTAACAAATAGTTCCACATTCACCACCACTATTATCTCACTCTGGTCCAGACTCCCAAGCAGGGGACCAAGAGCAACATGTTTGCTATTCCAATGGGGTGCAAAACACAAGTCAGCCACATGCAGCGCAAGCATCCATGTGGACACAGGCACCTGAAGAAACTGCATAAGCTCAGTGATGAATTGCAGTGGCTGGACTTGACACCACTGGTCTACAGCACTGCTGCTGTCCCGCTCAGTATCTGCAGCAGCACTAAATCAACAATCACCATCAACATCAGTTGTTGCATGCACAAATCATGTGGATACCTTCTCTTGATGGTTGACATTGGCTCCGTTCCGCATGAGGCACTCAACAATGTCCTTGTGCCCATTGCTTGCTGCAATCATCAGTGCAGTCCAGCCATTCTGCGCAACCACAAGGACACAACCAAAAGATAAAGCAGCGCAACCAGCTCACAACAAGCCCCCAACAAACATCAGCTGAAGCTCGCCACGAGGACTGGGACCTTAAAAGCATGCCAAAGCTGGCAGCACTTTAATAGCAGCCAAGGTGCCATTTCCCTGTTCTTCAATAGTGTCACATGTACAAGCCCAGGTGCCACCCAAATTTTGAACAAGCGGCTGGCTCAGTTGCCTCGCAGATGGCAGTCCTGTATACATCTGCTGGCTCTGCAACAGGATTTCGCATGCATCGCTCACAAGTCACATGAAGCGTATCACCTGGATATGCATATCCAGGTGATACCAGCGCAGTCGTCCGTCTACTGTCCAGCACTCCCATCACCTTGTTGATCTCGTCCACTTTTGCCCCACGCTGAACAAGGAGGTGCACGACTTCGTAGTGACCATTCTGGGCAGCATGGTGCAGTGGAGAGAACCCGTTCTGATATGACAGGTCACACAAGTGTTGGTGCATGGGCAGAGGGAAGAGGCTCATGCAAAGCCATGCACACTCAAAACAATGTGCATCTGACTGACATTCCAACAAAGGCAGCTATCGTTGTTTCCTGATCTACCTGTCCCGCAAGCACAAGGCAAAACATCGAAAAGAGGTGACTGCGTCAAATGTTCAAACAGCACAGGGGCCAGCCGTGCACCTCTTCCTGGTATATTTGGCAAGAACATGGAAAAACATCGATTCTTTCTGTTCACCAATCTGCACTTATCATTGAAATGGCGTGTCAATTCAAGGAAGCAAAGCCACTTTTGTAGCTGGACATCTTTGACAGTTGAAATGATATGCAAACTCTCCATACACAAAATAGAGCTGAAAATAATGAGCTGGCAGACCTGCTCCTGAATGTCAAGTATTGCAGCACCCTGCAACAAGATCTTGGCACACTCGAGGTCGCCATGGAAGGCCGCCTTGTGCAGTGCTGTCCACCCATGCTGCGCATCACATAGAGACAAAAAGGTCAAGAAAACCAACAAAGAGAAATAGCCCACACCTCTACACAGCAAGTGCATTTCCAAATCTCATCACCCTGGTTTGCTGAGAATGCACAGTCCCATTTTTAACTTAGGAAGAGATGCTATCAAGTAGCTTGACACTGACCAACAAAACGTGTGCACAGGATGTATGTACCCACAACTCTGATGGCCATAGTCAGAGGTATGAATACAAACCAGTGCTGAACCAGCAGGTTGGTACAGCAAGGAGACAGAGCTGCAACTCCACAGAACACACTGCCACACAGCACATATCTTGCATGCAGGTGAGCTGCAGCCAGCAGGTCGCAACACATCACACACAGTGGTCCCTCCTGGAGACATGTTCTTGCAGCAAAGCAAACAAGCAAACTCTTAGTCCTTTAAAAGCTTGTTTTCTGCTGGGCGCTTTTGGTCGGTGTTCTAGCAAGGGCTCCCAATGGGAATCGAATTCTGGGGGGCATGAGTATTCCCTGGACATACCTTCTCTCGGTGGTTGACGTTTGCCACATTGTGCACAAGGTATTTAACCACATGCTTGTGTCCGTTGTGGGCAGCAAATGTGAGCGGCGTCCAGCCGTCCTACAGGCACAAAAGCAGATGACACCAAGTTGAGCAGCATGCGGAGCAGATGTGCACTGGGTAGTGTGACAGACATCTTCAGGAGACACAAGATATTCGCGTACAAAATTTTAAATTCACAGTGGTCCTGATACCATTCAACTGAACAAACATGCATAGCTTCCCTGATTCTCCTATGAGCTTGGCCAAAGTATGATCTGCAACAATTTTCAGCACAACACACAACCAAAGTGTTGGATCAGCATTCCAATATCAAACAAAACCATGTATTGAAGCTGGCATCAAGGCAACTCTTTTCACCAGTGATACCATCAAAATGGGACGGCATCACTCCCTTCAAAGCCCGGCCAAGCTCCGCTTTCCTAACCTTGTTCTGGTGGTTCAGATCAGCACCATGCTTGGAGAGGAATTCCACCATCTCCAAGTGGCCATGCCTGGCCGCAAATGTGAGCGGATTCCAACCATTCTGCATCAAACAGCACGCAGCCATTTCAATATACAGAATATCCTGGACAGAAAGCAGCTTTTCAATCCCTGCCACCCCACTGCTGTGTGTTGGGCAACTCACGTTTGGTACTATGAAGCAACAGACCTCACATGCACATTCATGTGTGTATGATGACATGTCTGCATACTGTCATCATTTATCACAGTTAGTGATGACATTTCTGTACAATGCAACTTGTCCTGAGTGCCACAGAGCAGAACTTTAGAAACCATGCTCACATTTAACGATGTGCCAACAAACAGGCAGTTGTTGCAGACCCCTGGTTGCCGTTTGGACACACATGCACATCGCCTTGACTGATCGCAGCACATCACCTAACACCACGCATTTGAATCGCTACATAATTGGCTGCTTACCTTTGTTGCAACGTCAACCTTAGCTCCATTCTCAATCAGGAGCTTTGCCACTCCGTAAGGCGAGAACTCTGCTGCGAGTGTAAGGGCTGTGCTCCCATGCTGATGAACAAACAACCAAAATATCACACATGGAGCACCGGAGCTCAACATAGCAACTCCGCACATGCCAGATATCATGCAATCCAATGGCAGACTGCAGACTTTGGCATATTCGAGACAAGACTGAAGCAAGGTGCTCATTCATATTGGACGCAGCACAATGGCAGAGTGGCAATACTCAACAATACAGATGTGTCAACTGCCTGCACATCCCAGGTACCATGCAGTCAGGCGGCTACAGCAAAACCAATGACTGCGGCTCACCTTGTTTTGATGATTGACTTCAGCCCCCCTTGCCAATAGGGACTTGACAACGTCCTCATGGCCTTTTTGGGCTGCGTACATCAGTGGCGTCCAGCCATCCTGCCGCACATTAACAGCACAGGTACATGTTGGTCTCAAACACAGCTCCATTCCTGCAAGCGCCAAATGGCTGATAAGCTAGCAGTGCTAACAACCCAGAAATCAAGGTTCAAATTTCGACTCTCAATGGACAAAGTGCAAACTGCACAATTTGGTGCTGTCCAGGTCTGCTGATGATAGCTGGGTACACGTAAGGAAGATGCCAGCCCACAGAGCTTGACACACGCCTCCAGGAACACCTTGGAGCTCTTGCAAGGTTGACTCAGATAGATAAGAGGCAATGAGGACAAGTTTATAGCATCCTAGAATTCAAACTATGGACTACTTTCCTCTAATGCCCCCATTCACAAAGGTTCCAATCATCCCTTGCCAGGTTATGGGCTGTGCTTTGTGACTTCTTGGCAATTTTATCAAGGCTCTGCAACAAAGCCTCCAACGTTCGAGCACTGCAAGCAACCTGGCAGCTATCTACCTTTGTGACGAGATTGATACCAGCATGGTGGTCCAACAGCAGGTCCACCACTTCCCTGTGCCCATCCATCGCTGCCAAATGCAGGCACGTTGCGCCTTTCTGCAGGTGTCCAGAGCACAGGCATGCCATTCAGAAAACGAATACGCTCCAAGCACCTGCCTCAACAACTTACACTTAACAATCGCCAGGGCATGCACTCACTCCACAACTGTTAGAAACTCACTCCTTAACAAACCACAAAGTGATGGGACTTGAACTCAAAATGCAACATAAAACAGGCTCGATTCTGCTGGGAAGACCTTTCTCCAAGCCGTCAGCAGCAGTGGGTGCCACAGGACGATCTCTGGAATCTCACTATGCATATACAAATGCCTTGCACAACCTGGCTGTCACTGTCTTACATCAATAGCAGGACAATAACAACCCAGACAATCCGCACCTGGGTCACAAGATCCATCACTGCATGATGGCGAAGGAGAACCTCCACCACGCTCTTGTGGCCATTCTTTGCAGCATAGTGCAAAGGAGTGGCACCTTCCTGGAAGCCAAAGAACACCAGCGCAAGTCAGCAACTAAACACGACTGCAGGATCAGGTAGCCCAGGATTCTGCCTTGCTTGCCCAAAGTAGCCATGTCGCTCAGGAGTGTTTGAACATGCTTGCATTGAGTGTGCAACAAACTGAAAAATGCCCGATTGCCACCAGTCACAGAGCATCAACAGAGCATCAAGCCTGTGTCGTGCTGCAACAGGGCTGGCAAGAGATAAACACAAAGTTTGGGTGGCTGTGAGGCCAGCTGAGGTGACACTGCAGCACACCTTTACTTCCATTTGTTGCTGGTGCAGTCCCAGTTTACTTCCTGAAGTGTTTACACATCCAAATTCTGCCATTCTGTCAACTTCCAGCCTCATGATTTTCAACACTTCCTTCTGTTTCAGGTGCACAATGCTGACCCCTTGCACGTAATGCCATTCCAGTTAGTGAGTGTGCTGGAGACTTTCAAGATTGGAACTAAGGCACAGCATTGCATAGTGCTTAGTATCCAAGAAACTCTGATCAGCACCAACGCACTCAAGCAGCTATCACGTTTTAGGATGATGCTGCCATCTGTCATGTACCTTGTTCACCATGTCCAGCGCAGCACCATGCTGCACCAGGATCTCCACAACTTCAGCACGTCCATTTTGCGCTGCACAGTGCAAGGCAGTGAACCTATCCTGTTGAGGCAAACGCAAATGCACAGGTGCAGGTGTGTCAGCTTGTTGCAGATGCTCAATGTGGAACTCAAAAGCACAAAGCCTCACCAAAAACTCACTGTGTCCTGGCTCTATCACCATATTCTTCCAGGCACCTTTCTCAACTCTCCATTTAGGAAACACAACTGACATGGGGACTGTATCACATCAGAGAGCAAGTGGAGCATATGAACCAAGCCTAGCATATCCTTGGCATACTACAATGAGGGGCTTGTGTCATTGACAACTGTAGCAACCAAGATTTGCATTTACTATGCCACAAACATTTCAGGTGCCCTCCAAAATTTGCGGGGGAAAAAAAAGAAAAGAAGAAAAAGAGCATGTGGCACATGCGGAGGATGTGACTCCTGTTGGCAATTGAACACAGCTTTCAGAACAGCAACAATTCTTGAACATGCCTGACACCTGCACTCGCCTGTTCCTGAAGATCGATGGTCGCCTTGCCCTGCAGCAACACCATGACGCACTCGCTGTGCCCAATGAACGTGGCCCAGTGGAGTGCAGTCCAGCCATGCTGCATTTACCCAACAAAACAGTCTTCAGGCACAGATGAAATCATAGGAACGCAGCTCTCAGGCAATGTGGCCATTGCAGCCAACAGTAAATGCGAAACATTGCTACTGTCACTGTAATGTAGGCCTGCTCAGCCAAGCATGAGCATTTGCAACATACAAGAAAGTAATTGTGCAAAGAACGACTTTTGAAGATATCAACCAAATATACAACAGGTCACATTCACTTCAGCGATGCAGCACCCTTGCAAACATTCAAGATGAAAAATCAATCGGAAAATGAAGCAGCAAACAAGTAGGATGGAAACGAAGCTGTCTTGCCTTGACCAGGAGATGCAGATTGCGAGAAAATTTAAGCAAAAGCCCCAAAATATTGTGTTGTCTGGTCACCTTGTTTTGACGGTCCACATTGGAACCATGTTCAACGAGCAGCTTGATAACATCCTTGTGCCCATTTTCAGCAGCGAATGTCAGAGGCGTGCTTCCATTCTGCACAACACAACAAACCAAATGTTCAACCACAAAAGCCCCTCATGGGTATATACAAAAACAACCAATCGACAATCATCCAAGCTGCAATCGACGTACAATCAGACCAACTGTGCGAAGGAGATAAATTGCTTCCTGGTGTACTGCCTAGTTCATGCAAGATACCCTGACTAACAAGAGCCACAAGCTACACATCATCGTACAAGCAATCTGCAGGTTCTGCAGACCAGCACATGAAGGGTTGCCAACAACAACGGTCACTTGTCCATTCTTTGGACACTCCACTGACAAGTTTCCATGATTCCATTTATGGCACTGAGCAGGAAATGCAGGCCTTCCATGAAGAGGAAGCGGTGCTGACAGGGTCAGCAAGGAAGAAATATGCTCAGCCGTCCACACCCACCTGGGTGACGATGTCTACTGCTGCACCGTTTCTCAGGAGCAGGTCTACCACCTTGGTGTGGCCATTCTTCGCAGCCAGATGCAGGGAAGTTGCTCCTTTCTGCGCAAGTGGCAGAATAGTCACAGTGAAAAACACAAGAGTTTCCCTTGGGACCCACCACACTGAACAGCAAGCAAACCAACAGCCTAAACTTCAGGCCAGCAATTCACATTGACATCACAATAGGCCATATTGCTGCTTTATCATTTGCAAGGCAATGTCGGCACACAGGGCAAGGCCAGGTGACCGCAATGGATAAATAAAAGTGCCGCTATTGTGCCCCACAACTTTGTTTTCAAGACATAGGCTGCACAGCAATTTCTAATGACAATACGAAGGCCTGGTCAAGGCCACAGGTCACAAGGAGAACTGTGAGTTAAGTATTGGAAGAAAGACATAAGTCTTGGTGGGCATCGGTCTAAAATTCCCAATGAGTGGTACTCTTGTTGATCAACACACCTTTGTGACAAGGTCCACTGCAGCGCCATGGTTGAACAGTGTGCCGACAACGTCTTCATGGCCATTCTGGGCTGCCACGTGGAGAGATGTGAAGCCATCCTGCCAGTAGAAACGCACACAAAGTGTCTTATGGTGCTTGCCATGGTGCTCTGCGATGTGGTGGGATGTACGGCATTTAGGAGTGTAGTTGCATCAAATTGCAGACAGACACCCCAACGCCCATTCCATAAATGTATCTGTAAATGAGTATCAAGCACACACAAATCCACCTCTATGAATGTCATGAAGCCGATCTTTCTGCCCATCTCTGCCCCATGGTTTTCTCTTCCACATGGTCAAGCACCATCATTTATCAATCACACTATTACAAATATATCAAAGAAGCCCTGCACAGCCATGGGCATCTATTTCTTAATAATTAATCAATGCTAGCATGGGACAAGTGCAAACTTGATTCACAGCAGGTGCCAAAAGCGTAAATTCCAGTAAGAGATTTAGACGGCACAATGTCCATGCAAAAAAACATTGATGCTTCCTTTGCATACTTCTGCCTACCTTTGTCACAAGGTCAAGCACTGCCCCATGCGTGACAAGCAGGTCGACAACCTCCTTTCTGCCATTCTCAGCTGCACAATGCAGAGCTGTGAAACCAATCTGCAAGCAGAACCGCAAAGGGTTCAGCACAGCAAAAATTGACACCAACCCACATCTCGCATAGACAATCACTGAGGCCCAATGTCGACACTTGGACACACAAGGTGACATGAAAGGTAGCGAAAGAAACAAGACAATCGACTGGCACAGCTGTCCGACACAGGCAGCCATGTCTAGAAAACTTCATAAAACCATGGTCTAGGTGGAAATCATTCTTTCGATGACTGCCCAGGCATCGCTCCTCCACAGGCTCTCAATTCTTCAGTGCATTGGATGCTGACAGTCATCTAACACCACGCTTCAGGATCAGACACAGTTGCAAGTTCCACTACTCAAATCAAAAGGAGACAGTGCTGCACAGTGCCACTCTCAGTCCTATACCTGCTGAGGACCAATGACACAGGGGACTTCAATTTCAGCTGTGAATGCACACTCACCTCTTCCTGCACATCTATCTGAGCCCCCGCCTCAAGCAGCTGTGCTGCGCAGGAGGTGCAGCCCTTTGCTGCCGCCCGGTGCAGGGGAGTGCAGCCATTCTTCTCCTGGGTGTCAGGCACAGCTCCAGCTTCGAGCAGCAGCTCAACGCTTTCAAGCTTGTTGGACCATGCAGCCCAGTGCAGTGGCGTGGAGCCCTTCCAGTCACCTGTGTTTATCAGCTCCTTGAGGTTGGCTATCTGTTTGGACAGCACATCGGTGCCCTGGAAAACAGATGCGTGGAGCGACGTCCACCCATTCGTCTTCCAGCAGTGGACGATAGACTGCTCGCGCAGCTGGTCCTCCATCCTGATGGTACCCTGCCTTATCCTCTCCACAACGCCCCCAGGCAGCCTGCCCCTGTTGAGATAGCAGTCGATGCCGGGGCCTTCCAGGTGCTGCGTAGAGTGCTTGTGCTTCACCGACCGGAAGTCCAGCCCCAGAGTCTCAAGACTGGTCATTCTGTCCATCGAGGCTGGGAACGTCTTCAGGCCGGAGCAATAGTCCAGGTACAATGTCCTCAGACTGCACAGCGAGCCGATATCCATGGGCAGCACTTCGATCGCACAGCAGTACTGCATGTCCAGGAGCTCAAGCTGCGTGAGTGCCGTCAGCGAATCTGGCAGGCTCTTCAGTTTTAGGCAGCCCCCAATGAAGAGCTTCCTCAGCCTGGACAGGCTCCCAAAGCTGTCCGGCAGCTCCTGGAGCTCCCACAGGCCGTAAAGGTTCAACAGCTCCAGGCTCGTGAGAGAGCTGAAGTTGGCGGGCAGCTCAGCGATCCTCTCGCACGAGCTGAGATCCAGACGGCGCAGCTTCCTGAGTCGGCCGATCGTTGCAGGCAGTGACTTGAAAGCGCAGCCGGGGGCGTGCAGCGAATGCAAGTTCCCCAGCCAGCCCACAGACTCGGGCAGATGCCGCAGCCGGCCACAGAAGCGAAGCGACAGTACAGTGAGCTCAGCCATCACCCCTATCTGGTCAGGCAAGGCATTCAAATACTTGCAGGCGTCCAGCTGGAAGAGTTTCAGCGACTTCAGGTTCGTGATCCCTTCCGGAAGTTGGGTGATGTTGGTGAAGCTGAGGTCTAGGACGCGCAGCTGCGTAAGGAGGCACACGCCAGAGGGCACAAACACCAGGCCAGTGTCCCTCAGCTGCAGCACGCGCATGTTGGGCATCCGCACAGCCTGTGGCCAGCTCGTGATCTTCTTGTTGGACAAGGACAGCTCCCTGCCAGGGATGTCTGCAGGCCAGTGGTAGAACACCTCCTCATGGGAGGGCTCTGGACCAGGGCTGTACCAACGCTCTCTCTTAACAACATCGTCCCCGTTGATGATGAACATTGCCATGTCCCGAATCACTCGGTGCACGTAACAAGTGGTGGAGAAGATGTCTGCAAAGCCGGAGAATCGCATGGCCAGCTCCTCATCTGTCAGCTGGAAGCCGGGGGCACCCTGGCGGTCCCACTTGATCAGTGACATGGCCACCAGCTGGCCCCATATCATCAATGCATCGTTGCTTTTGATCCCCTGCGCTGTTGACCAGAGGTCGATTACGTCGGACAATAGCATTCGGTAGTCGTCCGCAACAGAGGCAAAGTGCAGGAAGCACTGCTTCTCCTTTGCTGACAGGGCATCGTAACTGAGCCTGAGGCGCTGGAGGAGCAGCTCCTCCTGGTCTAGGCTGAGCACCTCTGACTCTGCCAGCCTCTCTAGAGCAAACTCCAGGGCACCCCTGCACCCATCCTCATCAGTGTTGTCAACGGCGTATGAGGCAACAGCTGCCCCCGTGACCTCCAGGGCAAGGGGCAGGCCACCGCACTCATCCACAACCTGCTTCACCAGGCCCTGCATGTGGCCAGGGGCTTTCGTGCTTCCAAAGGCGTTGTAGCAGAACAGCTGCATGGCATACTCCTGCTTCATTTCTTTCAGTTCAAATTTGTAGGCTGAGCCAGTCTGGCGGAAGAGGTGAGACCCCCTGGTCGTGAACAGCACCCGGCTGCCATTGGCCGGGTTGATCACCATCAGGTTGTCCAGGTCGCTGATCTTCCTGCACCACACCTCATCCAGAACCAGCATCACACGCTGGTGCTGCAGCTCGAACCTCAGCCACTCCTTGCGCTTCACGTCGTCCTCTTCCGCTATGAACTGCTGCAGGTTGGCGTCCCCCAGCAGGTCGCGGTGCACCTGGGCTTGGCACCTCGCGATGTCGGGGGTGCGCGTCACGGTGACGCACGATATGCCCCGAAACCTGTCTAGTATGTCGTCATCCCTGCAGATGGTGTTCACCAGCAGGGTCTTGCCAGCCCCACCCATCCCAACGACGCCCACCCTTCCGCTGTATGTGTCCCTCACCTCCGAGTTCCTGAGCAAGAGCTCTTTCAAGGCCCCCACATGGCGTTCAATTCCAACAACAAACTGCGAGGGCATCGGCAGAAGCAGCGGTGCTCCCTGCTCCATGACCTCGCTGAGCTCGTTCGACAGTTCTACCAACACCACCTTGGCTCTAGCCATCACTTGGTCGTTCCATTCTGTCACGGCATGGTCTGCGCGCTCTACGATCGTTCTCATTTTATTCTTCAGGTTGTCTAAGTTCTGCACCAGCTTCCATCTCAGCAACGGGTTCTTCACCTGCCCCTTGCCCTTTTCCCTCTGGTCCTTGGCCCTGGTCAGCAGCTGCTCCAGCGCCTCCAAAATGGGCTTGGCCTTGGCCTCCGGCACGTCGCTCGAGCCGGCAAGTTCGTCGACAATGGGCACGACCTGCTTCAGCAGGGTGTTGAAGGTCTCCCAGTAGTCCTTGTACTCAACTAGGTCCGTCGTACTTAGCAGGGAGCCCGCTGAACCCGCCATTGCGTCGCTAGTAGTTACGGCCTATCAACCTGCCGAAAACAGCACAGAGAGCAGCAATTTGACGACGAAAGCCGCACGAGGAGGGCGCAAGGGAGCCCTGCGTCCACCCCGTCCCGCGAACCGCGCCGTGTGGCCCAATGCAGGACTGTCCACTCGCCTCAAGCCCTCGCCAATCCAAATCCATGCACCGCCAAAAGCCCCACGGCGGCGTCCAGTCGCGCCGGACAACGACCGGGGTCGAGGCGCCCGCGCTGCCGCCGCGCTCCCGCGCGCCAAGCCCGCGCCGCGACACGCATCCCCGCGACGGTCCCGGCCCATGCGGCCGCGCGGTCCGCTCGTTGCTGCACGGCGCCGCGCCGACGCTGCGCAAACACCGCGCAGGAGTCCACATTCCCGCCGAGGGCCGCGCGCCACCACTCTGCCGGGCGCGAGGGCCAGGGTCCCACTCACGTCACGCCCGCCCGCGGCGATTAGTCCCCACGGACGGCATCCCCTTCACAATTCATCGACAGGGTCCAGGAAACGAACAAACGGCGCGCGGCTCGAGCCGCCAGAGTCTTCCATCCTTCCAGAAGGATTTTCCCGGCCAAATCTGCACAATCGCGCCGCGCGCGCCCACGGGCGGCGCCAGGCTCTGTCTACTCGCTCTGCGGGCTCCGCCAACGCCGGGCCACCCCCGCCTTCCCCGCGCCCCACGCCTCGCTCCAGCCCCAAACGAGCGACCAAGTCGCCGCAAAAGCGCGCCCAGCCTGCGCTAAGACCTCCCGCACCCGTGAAGCCTCCAGTGCGCGCCGCGCCCGCCCGCACCTCGCGTGGCCGTCTGGGCAGTGCCGCCCAGGCGGTATCTGTAGTTAAGGGCGGCGGGGCACCCAAGATTGCCTCCCGTGGGGCGGGGCGGTGTCTGGGCGGCGTTCCCGGCGCGCAGGCGGGCGCCTGTCAGGCGGTGCCCGCGCCTCCTGCTCCCTTGGGCGCCGCGCCAAGCGCCGGAGCCATGGGGGGGCCCGTGGGGCGGCCGATCATTGCGGGTGAGCCGTGCGCGTCAGCCATCCTCAAAACAAGGTTGGGGGCCGAGGTTGTTTAATGGCGCCTCATCTTACTAATGCAGCCCTTAACGCGGTGATGCCGTGGGCACCCGGCCCAGCAGTCGTGCACGGGTGCGCTAACGGAAGGGATTCTCTCTGATCATTGGTCATCGTGCCGCAGAAGCGGCTGGGCTGGTCGTACGCCGCGCCGGCGTGGGCTCTGAGATCCTGGTCACACTCGCCCAGGCGCGGGGCCAACACAACTGCGGCCGCCCATAGATTGGCGGACGTGTTGGGTGGAGAATATATTAGTCCCTCGTCTTTTGCGCGAGGATCCCTTCTTCTTCCGCTGACAAGGCCAACGCCGCTCGGCGGGCCAGTGGTTTTGGGGTGTCAAGAACAAAAAGGGAACTTCACGGAAAAGACAGAGCGACACTAATTTCACGCCCTTTCGATGCCGGGGCCGGAAAGTGGTGGTGGCGCCGGCGGGGCTGCCAGACGGAGCCCCACCGCCCGGCATGGCGAACCGGGCGTTGGTGCGATGCGCCTCCCACGGGGTAGCCGTGGCTTTGGCTGAGCGCGCCCGACGCTCGAGCAGTCGAACGGAACCGGGGGATATTTTGGGAGGAGCGCGGAGACGCCGCGCTGGCCAGTCTCGTTTTGCGATTCTACGGGATCCTTGCGTGGCAGATGCAGTCTGCCGGTATGCGTTTCAGAAGCAGCGCGGCAGCAGGTCAGCAGCGCCGGGTTGCTTTCTTTTGCGTTGCGCGCACGGCGACAAGCCGCAGAGATGTGGCCCGTATGGTGTTCGCCTGGCCATCAATGGTGAAAAACACCGAAAAGGAGGTTAGGTTAGGTTAGGTTAGGTCTTCAGGTTTTAAATTTTAGGATAGCACGTTTTGGTCCCCATCAACACGGCTTCAGCTTCGAATGTACGGTCCGGTCCCAATGAAGCACATTTTGAAACTGTATGACATGGGTACAATTTGCCAATGCCATTCTGTGCAGATGGGCAAATACAAGTGTACCAATATGCCTTTTTCGAAGCAGAATTCTGCGCACATTCTGCAGTGCTTGCGTCTGCAAACTGAATGCGATCACACATTGCCGATGCCGAACTTCGCAACGCAACCAGCATTTCAAACCCGCCTCACGCACCGCGCGCGGCAAAAAGGTGCTGGCAGGAGCCCCAGACCTGACGAAGAAGGTGGACATGCAAGGGCGAACAAGGAACGCCTTCCCTCACTGGTGTCGGAGAAGAAGGCCCAAAGAGGGGCGCTCAGGCATTCTGTCGGCATACGGAAAAGGGCGAGAGCTGCAAGGCGTAAATGAAGCCTACACTCAGAACGAAATCAGGAGAATTTCCACCTGTCCAGAGGACGCCAGCAAACTCGTGCGGATTTAAGCCACATGGGTCTATGCAATGTCTGCGACCTGCCGCTCAGCGTGACTGAGGCCAGGTCAGCCTGACTGAGGCCTGGGCACGCGCACATGCCCACTGTTCACATGTGTGCATTTTGTGGCCCAATTTACATGTGCATAGAGGGGTAATGTTGTGGACATCCAAATTAATGCTGCCTAAAGGCAGCATCAATTTGCATTTATGTTTGCATCCTGTTAATTTTAAGTCGACAACATCACCAACTACGGAGTACGGATGGCCACTGTCGGGCAAGCACACATTTGCCGCAAGCAACATAGTTTTCATGCATGAAAGGGCCCAGCGAATGTGTGGATCTACGATGCTGCCATTTAATGAGTATTTAAGTGAAGAATATTGAAGCTACTGACCACACAGGGTCGATTTTGGTACGTTCAGCGTCGAATTGACTCTAAGAGTGTAGAGTATAGAGCTGTTTCATACGCTGGTGCTCTTGTCCCAGCGGTCTTGCTGGTCACGGCGTTCCCAGGCGGGGGGGTGGGGGGTGGAGTGGGGCTAGACCTGCCATGCTAAGCGACTACATAATTGCCGAAAAGTCGACAAACTAAGAAGGGCACCAAAACGCCGCTGACAGGCTGCAAACAAACCGTGGATTGCTCACACTACCCTCAAGCATAGTACACTGAGACTTCAAGGTGGCCTTCCTGATGCATCAATCCGCAGCCTCTCTGGCTGCGCGAACTGCCTTCCGTCACATCAAACATTCTATTTCAACAAGCATGGTCCCTGCAGCGCTTGTTGTTTGCCTTTCTTCCTGGTGGAGCGCATTAATGGAATAATGTTAACGTATTAACGTATTAATGTTAATATTAACCTTTTGCTGATGGCGACGAGTTACTCTGGCATCCTCAAATGAACTGACGATGAGGAGTAAGGGTTTGCATAGTGTTAGTTTGGCGCTAAACACACCAACACCGAAACAGCATGCTTCTTTACTCATAGTCAATCTTCGTTACTCACTGTTCTTGCTCCATTCCCGCTAATACTGTCAGCGATGGGTGAGCCCTCCAGTGTTTCCAATTTTGTTCACAGGGGATGCAGCGAGTCATATAATTACGGCACACAGGTCACCATGCATTCAAACCTCAGCGCAAGTTGCCAGCACCCGTCTTGCCGGCATAAGCTAATGCTTACGCTCTGATTACGCACGCAACTGCTCACGCAATTATTTGAGGGCGAATAAACATTACGTTAGGTCACTTAATTGTAAATGTCTATTAGTTGATGATTCTGTGGTTCTTTAAAAATTGAAAGACTTGGAAAATTCACAACTGCGATTTGCGCTTCCTCTTGATGTCTCTCAGCGTACTAGTCACCGCACTTTGCGCAAGTCCATACACCGAGCAAAATGCAAACACAGAACGCAGACAAGGGTTTTCCTGACGCAAAATATTATAGTTGTTATCTGCATAATGTAAATGGAATGCAATACTGTCCCATGCGATGAGTCAGCATTTAAGCACACATTTATCGTCGTTGTCATTTAACGGTTTCACGCCATCTGTGTCGGGGTGTTGACAGCTTGCCGTCGTTCTTGCGACTTAGAGCTGAAATTTAGCCGTTCTATACAAGAGTCGATATTTTTAGTATCGACATGTCCAATTCCAAAAGAAAAGCTTCACATCGAATGAATCAAGTTCACATCGGCTCCATGCTCACGCTTGAATGGTGTACATCTCCACTTTTTCATTGTTACGTCATCCACCGCGATCAACGTCACCAGTGTCGGGCAAAAGCAGTACACCATGGTTCCATGTCGTTGAAAAATGGCATTAGAAACAACATTCACAACATATTTACATGTATGCAACAATGGAACGTTGCTCACAATTATGCACACCTATCAAACTGAGTCAACGTGGATAAGTTTCCATCTTTTATGCGAAATCACGATTTCATCCGGACGCCATCTGTGCAATATTATCGACGGCACCGTTCCCATGGAACCTGCCATCCCTGGATAGGAGCACCAGCACATCGGCTCCATTTTGTGCAGGCCTTCATGAATGTGAACGAGCTGCTGTTCTGCAGAACATCGCCAGCTGTGCGGTGAGCTACAGCAACGCCTGCGATAATATGTTATCGGCAGAATCTGCTTCGCTGGGTGCCACCACCTCCCAGTCATTCAGCCCCCGTGATGTAGCATCCTCTTCCGTGGCATCGAAGGTAGCCATAGTATCGGTAGGTGCACTTCCAGTGACATCGGCAGCGCCGCAATCTGAACGGTATCCTTCAGCACTACCGTTTTCGGAGAAGGACCCTTCGCTTCCCTTGGAGTGTTTCCGTTGGTCGTCTGAATCAGGAAGGACCCCATCATCATCGCCGGACAGGTGGACATCTGCACGTTGGTCCGGAGAAAGCACCTCTCGTCGCGCCTCTCGTCGCGCCATCCACGCTGGAAAGTCTCGGAACACGGAGTCGCTGCTGACTGCTTCGGCATCCCCATTTGCACCCCGAACTGCTCGGTCCTCCAACCATGCGCTTATGTCGTCAGCGTCGCTCCCTTTCTGGAGCACAGTCTTCCTGGAGCGTTGCTGCTAAGCACCGCAACCAAACCATGGTCATGCGCAAGACGGGTGATGTCGGCGTATCCAGGAGTTTTGAATTTTGCAAGATCTGTATTGCCTTTGTGTCCAGTCAACTGAAGTCTTGCTGTCATGTGTGCTCTGCGTGTACCCCACTGTAAAAGAATAGAACTCATTGCTTGCTGGCAGTACAGCTATTGCACATGCCCTCACCAGAAAACGCCGCAGTACGAATGTGCCTCCGACGAACAAAGTCACGCAAAAAGTGCCAAAGAAAAGCCAGGGAGATGCCTTCGCCGGCACTGAAGACTTCATTGCTCGCGCTTAGTTAACTTCGTCAGCGATCTTGACAGTACTCCTGACAAGCTTGCCCTGCAGTGGAGAGGACAATTGGTCATGTTCCAATCAGATTCTTTTTTCCGTGGATGTGCATGGATGCATCCACGTTGCTTTAGGTTAGTCTGTCGACGTATTGTAGATTAACAAGCTCTGCTCGTTTCAATTGTCACATTCGGCGCTGAAACACCAGAGTATATATGACTGCAAATTATCAAACAACATTAGGCTGAACGAAACTCTAAGCTTCTTTTAACATCCTTTAATGTTATTCAAGACAAGCGTCACCGAATTGGGCTTTATTGTTAGAGAATCCGTCCGCAATACCGTGGCACTGCCCGCTCGCATATACTATCAATGAACACAAGACATATCCCCACTATAATATACAATATATTATGTAACATTAGTATTGCATTGTAGAGCTAATTATTAGTGTTAATTCTCCGTTTTGAATATAATGTAATACTGCACATTTATCTACAAATGATGAAAGCCATCATTTCAAGACGGACGCCCTTGGACGACAGTTGCAACATTCAAATGCGTACGCTTCCGTACACAAATGAGCCTGACGCACCAAACCGCGGCGATCGCCACGGCCATGATATGTGTTAGTTATTAGTGAGCGTGGCGTTTGTCAGCAGCTTCACAACCGCTCACTCTATCCCCAATCACAACACGACTGGCTGACGTCCAGGGCAGGCATTGAGTAATTGATCAAGTCAACAATCAAAACGTTTGGAGACTTGGTGAGACCACGCAGACGCCAGATCAAATTTCTCATCGCTAAGGTACAGTTGTCCCCGCCCATCGCTGGGACGCCGGCAGCTGCGTGCCGAGGTCATTCCGCACGGCTGCGAGACTCCAAGGCCTCAGCGGCCGCAGCCCCGTCCACAGTCCCATGATGAAAACCGGAGCACACGCTACGCAGAGACAGGGCAGCCTTGCCGATCTGCAGAAGCCTATGCGCATGGGCACGTGGGGCAACCCCCCGGGTTGCATGGCTGAGCACGACCGTTCGATTTCATTGCTGTTGTGCGGGCGATGTGAATGCCCCCCCGCGAGGCGCAGCCATGGATGCGCCTGCAGGGGGAGAATTCTTGGGACTCGTGCGCAGCTGTGCAGCTACCGGTCACCTGCCTGCACGGCGTCTGGGCGCCGAGGGCGCCACTGTGCGCTCTGTGGTCGCTCTGCCGCTGCGGTGCCGAAGTCGCGATTTCGCCAAACTACAACACAGCACCGTGTCCGCGAGCCCACGGACATGTGTTTGAACGCACCAAGTCGCGCCCGTGACTGGGACCCACCCGTGTCAAACGTTCCGCCTGTCTTCAGCGAACCTGACGGGCGAAGAGCCGACAAGCCGGAAGCGCACCTCTGAAGACGGTGGCCCGCCTGTGGTGGGAAGAGCTGGGTCGCGAGGAAGCGATGGATGACTGCGCAGGTTGGGCGGTGGCCTTGTCGCGACAAGTCCACCCGCCCGGCCGTCCGGGTGGCATTGCAGAAGAGAAGGGACACAACAACGGATGCGCAACGGCTTTTGAAATGACACTCTCGGCGTCTGCACCATCCAAGTCTGTCTCTGACGCGACGTGGATCGGCGATTTGGGAACGAGCGCTCCCAATGCTTCCTGCTTGAATAGAAACATGGGAATTTCCGACGGTCGGATATGTGCGGAAGACCTTCCACCGCAAAGGCAGCAATACAGCTGCTATGGATAACTTCAGGCTGGCCGAATTTGTATTCGTGTGCGGCGCGTACGCAACATAATTCCATTTTGCCGTGCGCAGTGTGGCAGCAGCAAAGAATCGCTTGGCAGTGATCAGTTGCAGCTAAACCGAACAGACGAAAGGAATTCGCCAATCGCCAGCGAACCGATGCGCCTTGGGTGCAATCTGAATCGTCGCAAACTTCTGTCACCGCGAAAGGACAGCAAGCCATGCCGAGGGAGCCAACGTCAACTGCGTTCAATCAGCGATGCATAATTGCGAAATTCGCACGCATACATACGAATAGATCATACACAATTTTTCACACGCAGACACACGACTTTCTCATACGCATATTTGTTCATACTTATGAACAGATCATCCCTACATACGTGAGCAGGTGGCCGATCGAATTGCCAGGCGATGGCATTCCGAACGCATGCCATTGTTGGGGGCGCTTCCAGCTGGCCGCATTGAGCGCGGTTTAGTTTGCCTGGCCAGGCCCATGGGCGCCAGTCTCTTCGGCCAAGCACTCCGTCTCATCTCTCATCTGGGACGTGCTTTGGGTGTCTTAACCTGGCCCCTGAATGGTCCACCGCACTGGGGTGCCACCAATTTAAGTTTTTGTGGATGTCCAACGCAGCTCGGCGGAACGAGACGTGGTCGAGTTCGCCGCATTACGTTTTGGCCCATCATGGACTGATCGAGGATGAAAGCCTGCGTTCAGGATTAGTCACAAAAATCTGACTTTAACGGTATCTGTGCGATGCGGTGTCGCACAAACACCTCGAAAGCATATTGCAAACAGGAAGCCACCGGCAACGGCAGGGCGTTAGTTAATAGATAGATCGTATGTAGTGTTTTTTGTACTGCATACTACAACGCATACATGCGCCGCAATTTTCTGATGTTTTTCTATTTTTCCCAAAAGCCTCGCAAAAATTATTGTGGGACTCACCTCGCCCAATAGACTACCATTCTGTAGTTGGAAGCGCCTGGGTATACCAATTATGAAGATGGGCAGAAAGAACGGCGTTCACTTGTCTGCAGCGCATATTTGGAGTTACTCTTATTGGTGATTGAGAATCATGCATGGAACAAACATGAGGACACTTGATTATCAGCTTAACGCAAAACACTGGAATACTGTGCATTTTGTCCTTTGCATGGTGTCAACACTAAATACTCACACCATGGATTGAGCAATGCTCATGCCATGACATGAGTGTACAGTATGGTGTAGACTTTAGTATGCCACCAACATTTGTGCTCTCGATTCCATTTGATTTCTAACAGAAACAGCAGCACCAAAGCGGTATTTGGAAGGAGTTGGCAATGGAACGATTCGGCCAATTAGCCGCCATGTTTGGATGCCTCAAGGTGCTGCCGATGTCAGGGTTTCTGATGCAAAACTTCGAAACCCTCTCTGGGGCACACACCGTGACGGACGGCGATGAACGCCGGTGTAGTCACCTGGCTGGAATTTGCAGAGATGGCCCAGCTCCCAGGGAGCCTGCGGTGCCACACGAACACCACCAAGCTCAGAAACAAGTTGTTGCAAACCAGCTGTTGGGCGAGGGTGGCACGGATTGGACAACCACAAACAAGGACTCATTGAAATTTCATGTCTTTGAGGGCGGAATTGGCGAGAAATTGCTGCATCTTTCTGGACCCAACAAAAGCCGAGCAATACGGGAATTTTTGCGTCGTGCTACTTTTTGGCCATACCCATATTTAACAGGGCTGCCTGTCACACGTTTGGCCGCACGCACAGACTTTCCTATGGCAATTTCGAACATTCCACTCTCGGAGTCAAGTCACTTCACTTTCGCAACCGCACATGTATCCGACTGATTGACGCGGCACGGCGCTTCCCCACCGCAAACTCGTTAGTCACTTGCAACTTCCATCCCAGATTTCCTGCTTCCGATCAGAGTCGCCACACATATATGTACCGATTCGGAGCTCCGAAAGTTCCTGCCTCCGTCGCGTTCTGTTCCAATGGGGTCAACTGCAAGCCACAGTCTTGTCCTCTACTTTACTCCCCAAACCTGGGCAGCTTGTCCACACACCACAGGACGCCATCACAGGGGGCCTGTGAACGCCTGCCCATCTGCTGGGCTGCTTGAAACTCTCGGACATCAAAAGGCCGCCAGAGGCACCCCGCTGAGCCGTGTCGAACAGCAAGAGGGCGGCCAAGGGGACGTCTAAAAGTGAACCCCCGCTGTCACCGCAACCTTGCTGGCTGTGCTTGAGAACGATTGTTGCCCGCTGGAAGGATCCCTCTCGAGGTTGCCCAGGCGATGCGCCTAAGCAAACAGGGAGATTAACCGCGTTTGTCCAGCCACGGTTGTGAGTGGCTGTGTGATTCTCGACTTGAGCGGTTCGTCCTTCCCACCCCTGTGGTCATCGAACACACGCGGCCTAGTATGGTTCGAAGGGCTGCTCTGGGAACTACTTGCCTGCCTGAGAGGCTCCATTTCGCTTGTCCGCGAACTGAGTGCTGACCTCGAGGGGTTGACAACAACAGCAGTGGTGGTTCGGGGACGCTTGTTCTCGCATCGGGCACGCCCGTCTAATGGCATTCGACGCCCTGTGTTGTACCTCAGAGGTTGAGGCACAGAAATGAAGCGTGTACGACCGCACGATGGCGCTTCCTCAAGCCAGTCTGCTGGAGAAGGGGGGCGATCGAAAGTCCTCAAGGCAGCAAACCCAGGTTGGTTCCCACCGTCTTTTTGCTACTCTGCCGAATTGACGGTGGAAACCCTTTGGCATGTATTGTCCTGCACAGGGCAAAACAGCGTCCCTTGCCTTTGGAGTTGATGACACGTGATTGTTGACATTTTCTGGGAGGAAAGTGTTTGAGCCCCGACAATCTTTTTCTCTTGTGGAGGAATTTGGCCTGTGCACACACATCAGCTGGTTCATGGTGCGCTGACGTTCCTGGCAAGAATGGTAGTTGCAGCCCATACTGGGCAAGGTTGTGTGAGAATATTCTTGATGCACTCTTCTCTGCTTGTGTGAAGAATGAAATTTCTCAGAACACTGCCCATTTCACACGTCCCACAATGTGCGTCATTGTGTCGTTCAGCTTGCTGAGAACGTGTTTGTGCTTGAAAAGTTCTGTATCCCAACAGTGTTTCTGGCAGATTGTGCTTCTGATAGGCGACTGCAAAATGTATTGCAACTGTGCAACTGGCTGTTGCCTGTTCCTGATGGCGGACTGATCATCCTGCTTGTGTGTATGTGTCTGTGTGTGTGTTTGCACTCACTATCTGTGGGCATTCCGTTTCAGGCACCTCTGGTGCTGTGGAGGATGGAGCATCTGCACAAGCTGTGGCTGAAGAGGTGGGCAAAAATGTGTTGCATGCTGTCAATGATTGGCACAATCCACAGTTAGGGTTTGATGTCAAGTGGTGTTTTGTGCAGGTGGCCGTGGTCAGCATTGGGGGATGGGGCCATCTGCCACACCATCTTATGGACATGGTGAAAGAGAAAATGAAGGACACTGGTGAACTGATGACCAGACATTCCTTCAATGCCGAACTCAGCAGGAGTGTAAAATGGATGCTGAAAAACTGTCGTCTTGTGAACCAGCACTGGTGCAAGTGGGCCACTGCAGCCACTCATGCTCTGCACCCAACACTACTTGGATTGGACATAGCATCTGGCATGGCCATGATAACAGGGAGATTTAAAAGTGTGACTGCTTTAATTTTGGAACTGGACCCAAGAATTGGATCTGTTTTGGGTTATTTGGAGAATCTACCCAACTTGACTTACCTGTATCTGAGTCACGACAGCATCACAGATGCAGAGTTGGGAGCTTTGGGGAAAACCAACAACCTCAGAGACTTGAACCTCAGGACATACCAGCACATAAGGGGTGAATGGTTGGAAAAACTCATGGCCCTTTCCCGCCTGGAGGTTGGATATTGCCCTGAGTTTGGTGACGAGGGTTTGGCCTTTCTATCTGCAATGAGCTTTCTTGAGGTGCTGGACATTTCCTCGACTGCAATAAGTGACGTGGGATTGAGGTCTCTAGAGCTCGTGACGACCCTCAGGGAGCTGGATGTTGGTTTTTGTCACGAAAAAGTCAAGGGTTTGGGCCTTAAGAATCTGACATTTTTGACCAGTCTGAATGCAGGGTGCTGCTCGATCAGTGATGAAGGGATGGTTTCTTTGGAGGGTCTGAGCTCTTTGCTGACGCTTGTTTTATGTGGCTGCAAACACGTAACCGATGTGGGGTTGAGGTCCTTAAGTTTCTTGAAGAGCATAACCATCCTTTCCCTAGCCAGCTGCGACAAGATTACAGATGAGTCACTGGCGATTGTTGGCACTCTTGATGCCCTCCAGAGATTGTGCCTACAGAATTGTGGTCTCATTAGAGGGAAAGGACTTAGGTACCTTGACAAGCTCCATGCACTCACCAATCTCGATCTGAGTGGGAGGCATGTGGTCAACGGCGCAGGTGTGATGTACTTGGAAGGTTTGACTTCTCTGCTGTCCCTAGATTTGAGCTCCACAGAGATGGATGAAAAAGAGGTGACAGATGAGGCATTGGTGTCCTTGGGCAGTCTATGGGCACTCACCAAACTTGACTTGTCGTATGTTTGGTGCTCCACAGATCAGTGCTTGAGGTGTCTTACAGCCCTTGTGGCGCTTAAGACTCTTTCCATCCATCACTGTGATTGGGTTTCAGATTATGGACTGGGATTTTTTGCTGGACTTCGTGCTTTGACCTTTCTTGATATGAGGTATTGCAACGACATCACGGATGCTGGACTGGTGCACCTGACAGGCCTCAAGGACCTCAACGAACTTCGCATTGCAGGATGCCAGATCTCCAATGCGGCCCTTCAGTGGTTGGTAGAGTTGGCTTCTCTGAAAGACCTCTGCATCAAGCCCAAAAAGCGTGCCAACGACATTGATGTCGATGCGTGTAGAGCTGTGCTGCCAAATGTCAAGTTGGCATATTACTTTGAAGGATGTGATGATCCAATGTATGAGGAGTTGGTGGCTGGATTTTATTCTGGCATCGATCAAGACAGCGATTGGGGCGAATGGTATGAAGACGATCCTGAAGCTTGCGATGAATCTGATGGTCCTGATTTTACAGGGCCCGATATTTCAGATGGATGAGACAATGGTATTCTGGGAGCAGAAGTTCTGATAGATATTGTTTGCTTGTAAGTTAAGTCTGATGACTGCACCCAAACTGGCAAAGATACTCAATGGCATGCCATTATCCTTCTCCTGGGCAGGGTGGCAAGGTCATTCATGAACTATGTTGTTCGACATGATTGCTGCTCTTTCGTTGTCCTGTTTATCCTGTGGCAGGAAGAGGGTGCTGATTCAGAAGTGTTTGAAAGGCTCGCCAGTTTCTGTCAGCATACCTAGCCGTTCCGCCACAGCAGAACATCTGGTATCCATAGGCCTGCCCTCTTGCAGTCCTGTATACAGGTTGAAGGGCTTGGAAATTGGGACACAGCATAGAGCAAGTGGGGTGCAGAACTGGCCAAAGCACTTGCACATAATGTACTGGTACAAAAGCCATCAAGCGGCAGCTGAAGGCTCCAGATACGACTTCCTGAGCGCATGGCGATGAGCAGAATGGCAGGGCATGGTGGCCAGCTTGCTCTTTTATAAAAGAGATGATAAATCACATGTTCGTATCTGCATCGATCTGCAAAGGCATCGACGCAGTGTGGTGCTGAGCAGAGGCGTCTTTGTACGGGTTTTCCATATATCCACGTCACCAAACGATATGCAACGCATGGCGCAACTTTGTCTGCCCACTCCAGGCTGGAGAAACACCACCGCCACGGGTGCTGCACCAGCGTCCAGGCCTTGTGATCGCTTACGTTGCAGACGCCGACTAAACCGCTCAAGTCTGCCAGTGCACTGCTGATCACGTGGAACGGAGCTGCAGTTTGTACGTCGCGTTGACAGAAAGGGTTTTTGAAAGAGCGTAAACTATAACTATTTTTTGTTGCTGTTTCGACACGAGTCACGAAGGAGACCATGCATGCTCCTGGCCATGTTGCATGGAAACCAGGGTGCGATGGAATGCGAGATGAGGCTGCCTCCTCACACCGTGGGAGCTGGGAGCTGGTTGCCTTCGCGTTTCTTTCTGTTCAAGAATAATGATATTGATCGAGAGTTGGGAGGAGAGAAAACTCAGCCCTTGAAACAAGGGTTGAAGTGAAACACTAGAGAATTCGGGCAGCACGACACGACAAGCCCCTTTCCGGTTTCGTTCCTCCCGCGTCCACACTGCACGGCGCGAATCGGCGCCGGCCACGTGTCCATCTGTCGTGCAGTCAGCCAAGCTGTCGGCCACAGTGCGCCACTGAACTGGCCGCAGCCCGCACAGCCACGGGCCCATCTGTCCCGTGCTGGGGGGAGCGACCAACCCGCGCGCAGCAATCTCCGGGGCGGCGACTGCTGCCAGGCAGGGGCAGCGTGGCTGTCGGCCAGTGCCCCGCGCCAACTGCTGCCTTTTGGAGACCGAGTTTCGAGTGTTTTTTCAATAGCAGCCGTCCAGGGAGACCGCCTGGGGCTCCTTGAAGCTACCGCGCCACAGCCGCGCATTCAAGCTACCGAGAGGCGCGACCGGGCAGCCGATCCGCGCCGTGATTGACTGTCTTGCGAAGCGCTGGTTGCCTTCGGCACGAGAACCCGTTTTTCCGCCTGACATGAGGTGAGGGGCCGGGTGCGTTCGTGCGCAGGGGGTTTTGTGCGTGGTGGCACGGCGGTTTGCCGTGCGGAGGATTCGCTGGCATGGAGGGGCCGCGGGGTGGGGAACGTGGCTTCGGGGGCAATCAGGGCATTGCGGGAGGCTCTGGCGCGACAGCTGACGGCTCTGGTGGCCGCAGCAGCTCGCTGGGAAGGTGGACGGCTGCGGCTTGACACCCAGCGACCCTTGGGGTGTTTCCGGCCCACGTGCCTGATCCACGCCCGCGGGGCGCTTGCTTGCATCGACACGAAGCTGTTATTGCAATCACGCGCGCAGAAGGCGGTATGCCGATCGGCGCTTGTCGCTGATTGCCCACGGTCGCGCGGAAGGCCGTTGAAAAGGGGCCCAGTCTCGGGTGTCGGTGATCAGCTTCACTCCCGACCCGCCGTGGCGCTTTTGAGCTTAGTTTGGGGCACAACACTGGCCACGCACGCTGGGGATCGCTGCTTGGGGTTGGATGGGGCGTCAGACGGCGTGGCAGTTTGCGGAACGGGCCTGGATCCCCCTGCACTGCGGGGCCCCGGCATGACGGTGCCGCCAGCGGGTCACGAAATGTTGGGCGTCAACGCCATCAGGGGCCTCTGCGCTCCGCCCTGCCACACGCGGGGCGGCGGACGCATACCTTTAGCGCTGTGCGGCGCAAGCGTCGGCACCACCTCGACGTCGATTCACGTCCCACGAGCAATCGCGCTCCGCCCGTTCGCGTCCCTCAAGCGCCGCTGCAGATTGCTCGCCTCACTCTCGATCAAAGTAGCCGCCATCACAAAAGCTTCTTCGCCCTTTCAGCCAGTCGCGTGTGCTCGCTTCGCCGCGGGCTGCATTGTCAGCGAAGGGTCACCAAGGCTCCTTCCGGGATGTGCGGCCCGCTAACCTTCCCGCTCCCCAGCAGACTGATCTGAAGATTCTGCCGTCGCCCGCCGCAGGCTAAGCCATGGCTCCAGAACCACGGCCATCGCGCAGAGGCCGGTGATCCAGAACCCCCGTGTCCGCGTCGCTCCGCCCAGCGGACGCAAGTTTCAAAAGACGCCGCCGCAGCCGGCGGTCGAGCCCGGCCCTGCGGTGGCAGAGGACAGCGCCGGCGGCCTGCGGGCGCCGGAAGGCTTGATGGCCGTCGTGCAGACCATGATCACCCAGCTGGGGGACATGTGGCCCAGCAGGGCGGCGGAGGCGGAGGCGGGCAAGGGGCCCGGCGCGGACCTCAAGGTAGGAAGGTGTGGTCAGTGCACGAAAGCGAAACGGACCAGGGAGTGGGGACCCCGAGGAATGAGAAAAGCGGTAGGATGCCAGTGCAGAATTGTAGTCTCAGATTGCTACGGTGGGGCATGAAGAGTGGGGACCAGCCCGTAGCAGAATTTCCTTGAGCTGTAACATTCTTATTTCGTATGTCTTGTATTTCTTGTTTCTTTCTTTCTTTCTTTCTTCTCATCTCTTGCTTCCATTTTGCTTCGGTTTGGTCCTGGGGCAGTTTCACATACCGTGTTCTCTTCCAGCAGTTAGACACATGATTCTGGCCACGGCTAGTGTTGAGAAGATCAGCATCGCTGATGTGTGGATGTGGATACCTCTTGTTTCAGCCAAGTGAAGAGGAAATGGTGAAGATTGGGCAAAAGTATAAGGAGCAAAAGCCCAAGGCGCCATCAAGCATTTCGAGATGCCTGCAGTCTGCATCCACTGCTCGTGTGATGCTTGCAAGGTCGATGTCTTCTCTGTGCGCCCTGGCTTACAGCATGAACAGAATCACGGTGAGCTCGCATGCACAGTGTGTTGGGTTGTCTAAATCCAGTCTGATCATGTTGCCATCACAAGACAGATGCTCTTACGATCTTTTGCCAGGAGAGGTATTTTCACAGGACGTGGTGCGGGGCTGCAACCTTTATTATGGATGTGCAATTGGGGCAGAGCTTGCAGTTGAGGCAATGCAATTCGTGCAGTTTTGCACGCTGTGTTTAGGCAATGGGTTCAGTAGCAGCCACACTGCAGTGTTGTCCTTGTGAGCATGGTCATTTCTCTTGCCAGCTGGGTTGCTTTCCTGCCTGACAGAGGTCACCTTTGTTGTTCATCTGATTGTTCCCGTTCCTGTCTGATTCCCATGTTGCGTGCCCATGCTTGATGTGTTGCCAATTTGTGTCCATTCCGCTTTTTGTGTTGTCTAGCCCCGGTTGTTGTGGCACCACCACCGCCTGCAGCTTGTCACCACGTCTGCATCCTGGAGGAAGCAAACAGAGAAGGCAGAGGAGGTTGAGGAAGCAATTTTTGTAGGGGATGGCATGGCTTCAATTCAGCCAGAAAGCTCCCAGGGGGATGCTGCCATGGCACTGGATGAGAGGGCCAACAACATCGTGGCCATCGAGGAGAAACTCAGGAATCTGCCGACCCTTGACAAGAAGGGTGCCACAGGGACTTGGACCACAAAGGCCATGGCGGAAGCGACTATTAATGCGGCTAGCAGTGTGGGCTCAGTTGCTGGCAGCATCTACCAGCAGGCCCTTAGCCAGCTTGCTAAACAGGTGTGCAACCCACCAAGCAGGCGTGTGGCTAGAAACTGTGTGGGAACAGATCATGTTTCCATGGCAGGTGTGCATGTTTCTTTCATTTGCAGTCCTGTTCGTTGCTGACAGTTGAGAATGACAGATGTGTGCTATAGGTAATGAGAGGGAATGGACACAGCAGCTCAGAAGCACAGTAAAACGCGCAAGGGATGTTTGTTGTTTTTGTCAATGTCATTGTTTTCATACTCATTGTTTGCTGTCTTTGCCTGGCATTTGTATAGTTTGTATGAGGTATCAAGTTGGAGCTTCATTGCGATGCATGGAAGCTGCAGTGTGAAAGGTTGAGAGGAAGACCGTTCCAGGACATGATGGCATAGGAATGGGTGTCCAGTGCAGTGTGCCCCCAATGCCATTCCTCAAACCAGTGATGTTTCTTTGTGAAACCCAACAGCAATCTACCTTGTCTGATTGTCTCTGTCACAACAAGCTCATTGAAAAATCCCATGGTGCTGGATTAGGCTGCAAACAGGGCCCCCGCAGGACATGTGATGGACTCTGTTTCCAGAGTGCTCTCGCTCGCGTATGCAACACTGGCTGCCACTGTGCCAAAGCCCAAGGACATGCCAGAGCCGCCCCCCAAAGAAGCCGACGCCCCGAAGTCTGTTGAGCAGCCAGAAGACCTTGGCCAATGCCCCTTTGAGTGGTACGTGGCAGACAACCCAGAGCACGACCTGCGGCTGTTTGTCATTCAGGGCTCTGTGGGGATGGACTCTTGGCAGACCAACCTGACCTTCGACCCTGTGGTGTTTGAGGACGAGTCATATGGCGTCAAGGTCAGTAGATCCAGTGACATCCGTGTCCCCCAGTGTGAAGCTTTCACAGAGAACCAGTGGTATTGTGCTCCTTCCAAAGTAGGCTTGTGCTGCTTGAGCTGTGATAGTCAACGTTTTGGAGGCCAGGATTGGGCTGCACAAGAGAGCACATTGCGGGCACTTTGCAGCATGGTTTTGGCACCGATCCAGCAACTAAACCCTTGTCCTTCACTTTGTGTCCCAGTTAGTCTGCATCTGCTTTGATTTACAGCAGAAAATGCAGCATTCACCACTTCTGTGCCGCTGTCAGTGTTCCTGGATGTGTTGGGGGTTTTGGGTCGTGTTGCCAGCATGCGACCTGAGTGATTGTTTGCACGTCTGCTGACGTAACTTGCACTTGTGGATCTTTGCGTGCCACTAGCTGAGCTCAGGCCAGCATACTGCACAGTTTTCCTATTAGCGATGGACCAATCTGGGCTGTTGTAATGACACACAAACACGCTGGCATGGATACCTTCTCAACATTCATTGCAAGATTCGTGGGGTCCAATTTGTCCTGTGCAGTCTGTTGTTGTCCTGTGCGGACGATGTATATCGTATATCTCTTAATTGTGGAAGACTTGTGGGTGTAGGTGTTTCTTTTGGCCGTGGTCTTGATGCTCTCTTTTCCTTGCTGGGCTGGCGCTGTGCAAAGCCTCAGCGGCAGCTGTGGGAGACACGAGTGCAAAGTGTGTATATCATAACAATTGTGTTGTGCTCGATTGTGGGTGTGTGCAGGTTCACCGGGGGGCCTATGAAACAGCACAGACACTGTATGCTTACTTCAAGCCCATGGTGATGGACCACCTTGAATCTTCACAAAAGGCGAAGGTTAACTTCATGGTGAGTAGACCTTCACCATCTCCCTGAATTTTGTCCTTTGACTTTGGCGACAGCGTTTTTGATGACATTGGCGAATCATCACGAATTGCTGGGACAGCGTCAAGTCCTGGGTGCTCTGTGCCTGCCCAAGCAGGACCCTGGCTGTATGGAAGAGTGTTCGGGCCCACAATATACCTAGTGAGCGATGCCGTGTTCCATGGTTCGAGTTGTCAGATGCACTCCATTTCTGCTGAAGCAACTTGTGTGATGACTGTTACCCAGCTTGAGACTTTTGTTCACAACGTTCAGAACTGACCTGGTGATCTGCAGGACTATTGTTATGAGCACACATTTCATTTGGATTGGTGGGAGCACGTTATACCACAAACTGTGTGCATTTGTTTCTTGTCAACAATTTGATCTGTCCATCATTTTCGCCTGACTTCTGTTAATTGGCAACAAGCTGACACCAAGATTTGTGTTCATGACTGTCAAGGGCCATTCGCTGGGCGGCAGTCTTGCGACAGTGTTGATGCTCATGTTTGTCGCCCGTGGGGTGCTTCCGCCAGAGGCTGTGCACAGTGTCTACACTTTTGGTGGAGCTGCTGTGTTCTGCGAAGGCGCTGGGCACTGCACCAACTGCGCTGAATGTGCTTTCTCCTCCACCTGCGAGTCACCGGTGGGTGTAGCTGCTTTCGCCCTCAGTGTTGGCTGTTGGCAACTTACCAGCAAGCATTGCTGTGGCACATTCTTGGGGTCAGCCATCCCCAAATTTCAGCAAGATTGGCTGCAGATAATGTGATGGATGAGTATTTGGGTTGCACAAGTCCTCCCAGGAGCCAGTGGGTTGTGTCCATGGCAGTTCAATGTTGGTGCCGATATTGTGTGATATGTGCACCCTGTTCCAGACCAAGGACGTTTGTGAGTCCAGTTACCTTTCCTGGTGGATTAATTCCAGCCTCTCTGAAGCTGAGGTGTGGCCATGTGATGTTTCAGCACCACAAGAGCAACCCTCAAAGCCTTCTAAATCGACTCGGCCTATCTGAGGACGTCGTGACCAACGTGATGATGCACCGCGACATCGTCCCAAAGGCCTTTGCCTGCGACTATTCTTCAGTGCTGCCCATAATGTGGTCGATGGGCCAGTCCTTCAGGGACCACCATTGCCTTGCAGGCACTCGGGCGACACTGTTCAACTTCATCGGTGACATGCTCGTCGTGCAGCCCTCAAAGGAGCTGGGTATTGTGCAGGGCGATGGGTACCACAGCCTCCTACCAGAGTGCACAGATCTGTTCTTGATTGAGGAGCCTGGCCACTCAGCCAAGGGGAGCGTTGGGACTGGGCCAGATGGCGAGGCTAGGAGCAGGAGGGAGGCTTTGTCAAGTCTCTTTGACTCACCACACCCACTGGAGATCCTGGCAGATCCCCGGTCCTATGGGGACATGGGCAAGATTTCAAGGTTGAGCGTGTGGATGTTGTTGTGCGCGGATGTGATGTGTGTTTTGATGATTTAACTTTGGTGTCCAGCTGTTGACACGTCGATTCCTTTGCCAGTGGCATGTCAGAGGGCGGCTTGCTGCAATCTAATCATTGCTGTGAAGAGAACCAGAGCACACTGCATTCTGAGCCCTATTAGACAAGGTTGGCCTTGTGCTTGCCTGCAACGTGTCGATTTGTTGCTTGTTCTTTTGTTCAGAATGCACAGGGCGTTCAGAGCGATGTGTTGCAAAGAAGCAAATGGCACCATCTGGCCACATATTATCGTTTTGAATTACACCATTTGCCTCCAACCTTTCTCGCCGCAAAACAAAATATGGTTTTCTGTGCTGCATGTTTAGCCTCAGTACACACTTGCAGAAATTGTACTTTTTTCGAGTGACCAACCACATGCGTTCCATTTGTGCCAACGTTCACGGGCTCTGACAACAACTCGTTGTCTGCAGAGGCTGTGTGCATTGAAATTCCTTGCGATGGAGATGTTAATATGTTGGTGTTCAGCTCCTGTCTTTTTGCTTCCACCCTTGTCTGGATGCAAGCAGGTTGGTGGCAAGTAGGTAAATTTCTGCTTGATAAACTATCTGCTTATCTCTTCAATTTATGAACTGAACAGATAAAGGCCCAAAACGTTCAAAGGCTTGCTCGTTTTGTGATAATCGGCAGGGTGCAAGGGCCCAGCTTTGCCTTTAAAGACCAACCTGAAGGGAAAGGAATGTGCTACTGGCTGGGTGACTTGACATCGATCTTCTTGCTGCCTTGTGGAACAGGTACCACAACCCTGGCAGCTACACTAAGGCTATCAAATCAGTGCTGATGAGCAGGCGCCGTGGTCGTCTTGCTACACTGGTTGGGGCTGCTGTGGCAAAGAGGTTGGCCACCAGAGGTGCCAATGGGAGTGCAAAAGCGCATCTTGGGCCACGCCCTATGCATATTGGGTTTACGAATGGCAATTCATACGCAGGACGTCGTGCAAGGAGGCCAGAAGTCCTGCACAAGAGTTTCGAAGCATCCTTGGGCGGAAAGTATAAGAGAGGCAGCCGTACTGGCAAGTGAGGGCCCCGCGCTGCCTGTGGGGTGGCATCAACATGTCTTCTTTTCGTCTTGCACCTTGCAGTTCGCGGCGCGCTTGCCAAGCCAATTGGGTACACACATTTTGATGGCCATTGTGCTGCTGGGTGCCCCAGAATCAGGGCCTGGCAGCACGTGGCGGTGTGAGTTTGAGGCTGTTGGAGAGAGAGGGAGTGATACACCACACAGACAAGGAGGCCTGACACTTCATTGACGGGTTGATTGATTGTCTTTCATGTGCATACATGAACTTTGCCATGCGTAGAGCCACCAAAGTTGGGGATTGTTTTTGGTTCTGGGGAAGGGGCCACGTTGTGCTGTAGAAGCAGGACCCGAATTGGGACATGTATGCAGTGGGATGATTCCCAGTGGGATTGAGGACTGTTGAAGAGCGGATTGCTAGCACATTGTGTGACACTGAATTGTGTTTGGAGGGGTTGTTTGAAATTTTGTCGAGTTTGTTGCGCCACGTGTGCGCAGTGGCAGTTGCTCGTTGGTTTTGATGCCAGGGATGAGTTGAATATCCACAGAAGCGTCTATGCAGCCACTCTTGGCAGATGTGCACCGCATTGATGCGAAATTTCAGGGTGCTGTCAGCACAGTGGTTGTCAGTCTGTCTGGGGCTGAGTGGGGACAGCTTAAAGTCTAAGAAGGTGCCAGTATCTTTGTGCAAACTTTAGAACAGATTGAGTTGGATGAGTTTTGTTGAGGTGGGGCGCTTTCTCGGCCTCCAACAGTTTTGCTCGTTATTGGCCTTTGGACGAGACCACTCGCTTTGCTGTTGTGCTCGTGCACCTGTAACGATGGGATCTCCCAGGTGAATCTCCTGGCGTTGCTCTGGATAGACATGCCAGCATCCACCCCCGCCATCGACATGTTTGAATGGAGTCACTGCATGTGCGGATGCGGGGTGTAGCACTGGCCCTATGTGTCATCGTCTGTGACGGTAATTCATGACATCTGCAACTGCAAGTTGGCACAATGCGTTGCTGAGGGCCAGTTGAGGCTGGGGCAGCACTGAGGGCATGCCCACAAGTTTCTCAACTGCGCTGTTGTGGAACTGTCAGGCGTAACTTTCTCCCATACACTATTATCCCCCCCTGTCACAACAACGATTTTTGTTCTGACATTCAACATGAAGATGTCATTGAAAGCAAAGCCACAAGTCCTACACCTCCAGGTGCAGGACGCAAATTCGCGGCGGCAGCTGTCAGAAGCCTATTTGTACAAAGCGATTCTGAAATTGTGATTCTGACATGTCGTGACAAACAAGCACCACCTGTGCACCTTCCAAATAGACTAGGGACCACTTCCTGCAACCTCGGAAATTTGAGGCCAGCAATGAGCCATGACCAACCGGCAGCTCGACAGCTGGCGGCATCCTCACCGCCTAAATAACGGCTTCTATCAGAAACGGGCCGGCTGAATCGAGGGCAGTTGCCAGCTGCTCTGCAAATGCTTCCGTTGTGTCAGCCCTCGAGGATGGCACTCCCATACCCTTGGCCAGCGATGTCCAATCAAGAGCAGGGTCGTCCAGCTGCGTCAGGCGTCTCGCTCCCTTGCCGTTGCTGTGGGGCACCATTTGCTTTGCTAGCTCGACCTGTCCCAGTTGGGGAAATAATGAAATGTTGTCGGTGGTGCAAACGACAGGACCCAGACACCTTGTCGCACTACACGTGCTCAAAACCTTAAGGCGTTGAGCCGTTAATGAAGACCGACAATACGTCGTTGTATTATATCAGCCCACATTCAAACGTAAATGCTTTGGCGTCTCAATGCGGAGCAATAGTGCAAACGTGACGTGCCACGGAATGTGGAGCAGCCCCGGCCGCGACGCGAGGATCTCTGGGCTGCTCCTGCCGTCTAGCGGCTCCGGATGCATGAATCGCTGTGGCAGAAAATCGGCATTTGAAGCCACGCGAACTGAGCGAGTTCGCCACTCCGGCCGTGGCCACGATGCTGCCCCAAAACTAACCGTCTGTCTAACTACGGAGCGAATATCGCAATGCTGAATTTCACAGTGCCGAAGGGTCATATATTACGCGGCATGTTGCATAGGCTACTTTCACGAGTGAGTGCCAGTCCTGGATCTGGCGTCTGGGCACTGCAAGGGAGCCCACCTTCAGAATTCCGTACATGCTGTTGGAGCAGATAACCGTGGTGACATTGAGTCTCTCCCTGGCCTGAGTCCACAGGGCCTGCAGCGAGTACATGCAGCTGCCGTCCGCCTGGATGTTGATGACGGGGCGCTCAGGGCAAGCGATGGCGGCGCCCACAGCCATGGGAGGGCCGCTCCCTATGGCTCCTCCTGTGAGCGTGAGGTGAGAGAATCTGGGGCATCCCTGGGGAACAGGCAGACATGCTCAGCGCCGAAGTGAGCCAAGCGTTGAGGCATCGCGACTGAGAAAGTGAGAATGTCCTGATGAGTGCGGGTGGGCAAGCAAGGCGACCGGCGGTCATATCGTTGCCCGCCAATACCGCAAGAACGCACGACCAAACACTGGGGACACTCTGGGGTACTCATTGCTACTTGTCGTCCTGTGTACTGGTGTGCCTTGATGACTTGGGGAACTGAGTTTTCGTTGCACAGGATTGTGCGCGAATGTGCGGTCGCTAGAAACATGACGCTGTATGACGATTTTGGTTCGGCAGAAGCATGTGACATGACCACAGCGTCGTTCTTTCACATTGGCTTTAGGGATACATTCATTCACTCGTGCCCCAGAGGAATGATTGAAACCATCATGGATATCGAAATGTTTCTGACGTCATTGGTGGCTTTGTGTCGCCTGCGCTGTACCCTTCCAGGGAGTTTCGTTGGAGGAAAGGTCAATGTTATGGACTGGCAATGTGGAAATCCTTGCTGAATTGTTTTGTATCGAATGTGACGAGGATGGCGCAAATTATGAACACGGCCATGTTTTAAATATGCATATTGTGTTATTGAACAATATAGATTCTGGTCGAAAACATGTGTAGAACCTTCCAGACTGGTACTGGAACATAAATGAGCTGTAGCATAGACTTCGCGCATATCAATTGTATGGCCATATTTTAAGCATATATTTTCGCGATATTCGCGCCCACGATGCATAATTTTTATGTCGACGTAATCCGAAACATGCAATGATCTTGATCAGACGGAATGTTTGCAATGATGAGAATGGATAGAACAACACTTCAATGGCTGTTATTAACGCATAAAAACGTTTTGAAGATCGACGCCGCTGGCTTATTTCAAGAATATTATAAACAACATTCTGAACATTTTGCAAATTTGCAAAATGTGAGAAACACAAAAATATAGGAGGCTCTATTTCTGTATCAGCAATTTGCAAGCCTGCTCGACAATAAATCTCCAGATGATGATTCTAACTGCAGTTGCGATAATCTAATTCTCACCATTAGCACAAAAGTTGGTCTCCCTACTGTGCTGCCACAATTTCCAAAGCACAAATTTAATGTTTCTGAAGTTCCAAGTTGCAGTGCACATGATTATGCACAGCCACGAACATCTAAGGGCTTTAGACGCTCGTGGCTCTGAACAGTCATGTGCGCTGCAACTTCTGAAAGAGGAGGCTTAGGCTCTTGCTATCGATGCATACTTGCATGTACATTCCACGCCGTGTCTCTGTTCCCGATCAAACACCACCAGGGCGCATGGGTGCTTCCAAATGGCGCAGTCCTGCTGGGCCCTGCTCGTGGGCTCCGCTCTGCAAGCAAGAAACTGACCTTGGAGGCCTCCCAGTAGGATCCGCCGCTGGTGAGCGACTCGTCGACTATTATGGCGTCTGGGGGCTGCAAGCGAGCGATCACGGCGCACATCGACGCGGCTGTCAGTTTGCCTGGCGAGAGCCAAGATTCCTTGAGGACACATGCTAGTATGAATGTACATGAATCCGCACGAGTCTACAGTGCACACGAATCTACAAGGAAGAGTTGACATGAATCCTTGCTTGTATCGTATACCATAAATCGTACAGAACGGCTGTTGACGTATATATGATAGGTTGGATACATATCGGGAGATCTGGTCCTTGTTGAAATGCATCGTGCGGCTTTCACCAGGCGCAGGCACCATCTCAAGAAAAAGTCTCTCAATAGTCATGGTAGACCTAATCAAACATGTACATTTGATTAATTTGACCACTGTAGAATTAGCAGATTTAGTGGAATCAATATAACGAATCGAATGGATTAATAGAATCTTATTATGCCTAGTGTACATGCTCAAAATCGAAACAAGATGAGAGTTTGGAACGTCTTGGAAACTCCCAAGATCTGGCAACCTCGCACATTTGCAGATCAATGCGAACCGTTTGTCGCTCGCGTAAGGAATGCACGCGAGAAGTTGAAAACACCGTGATGTATGCGATTGTTGAGCCGCGAAGGCTTTGAAGGTGGGCAACAGATGGTGGCACCGCCAGCTGGCCTCCAATCACAGAAATTTCAATCATTCGTGGATGTTTATTCACTCTTAGACACGGATGATGCACGGGTGGAAGCGCGTCGGGTAGCGGCACACCTTTGTTGCGCTGGCCGATTTCAAACTAAATTTAATCTCAGCTCGACAATTCCGCCAATTGATGACGAATTACCGCATTCACTTCATCGCAAAAGAGTTTCGCGATCAACGTTTACTGCCCCAAGGGCACAGCATGCATTTTGGCACGTGTCACAAGGGGTCAAGCTTCCGAGGTACATCTCACAGTCATACATGTACAAAGGGGAATGGTGCAGGAATTGACCGTGCTTCTGTGGCGTCTTTACCGTGTTTGGGCATGTCGGGCCTTCTGGGATGCATGAAGATGCCGCCGCAGTTTACACAAGGCCTCACCGAATCTGTTCCAACTTCTTTGGCCAGTAGATCGAGCGCTAAGGTGATGTGGTTGGAGTCGTCGAAATGCCATACGGATTCGTCGTCGAGTTCCATGAGCTGGCTGGGCCCGTTTCTGTGAACAACGCGGCCATGGAGTAAGTCTCCA